GCCCCCAAGGGTAGGATGCAAAAAAAGACCGCATCCTGTCCCAATCGGCCGACCTATAGTGCCAAACAAGGCGGTAAGCTGCAGATCGCAACTGCGATGGGAGCATGAGTGGCACCGTACTCCGGATCAGACAATGGAGGCCAGAGGGACATCTACAGAGACCTGATATCCGTCCGGATGAGAGGTCAGCAGAAGGTCCAACAGGGAAGGTACATGATCCTCCACATCTGGGATCCGCGTAGGCGAAGTAACCAGTTGTGTTAGACCATATGCCAAGTCAAAGTCATACACAGATCTACCCGCATGATCGGTTAAACGGGAACCAAACCATTCAGCGTGGTGGGCGTTAAAATCACCGAGTATCACGATCTCTGCGGATGGGACCTGTTGTAGCACGGAGTCTGCAGCTATTTGGACGTGGTCAATGAGTCGGTCTGTGTCGGCATTACCGCTATGGGACCTATAGAGGCACCCGTAGATGCGGGGATGGTCGTCGCTGTCTACGCGCAGCCATAGGGTGGACAGGACAGGACCCTCAAGACTGCCGAGGCGTCGAAAACAGATGTCCTCTCTGAAGTATACGCAAACTCCAGCCCGGGGCACAAAGGAGTGTTCAAATTTGTACCCCGGGTAGTGGAGATATGAAGTATCGCCGGAGAGGAAACCTGAGTCTCGGTTAAAAAGAGCAAGGCCGGCTTCGCCGTCTCTAGATGGTAATGGACAGCGTTTGGAATGAAGATATATTGCCCTGATATTGCAAAAATTCACGGATAGCGTGAAAGGGGTCGCCGTGGTCTTATTGCTCCGCTTGCCCCGAGCAGTATTAGATGCGAGCGGAATCCCCCCCGAATACGCGGGGCAGCCTGAGCACCCACGCCCAGGAGTTGAGTAGTTTGGTCGTGGATGCTCACCGAGGGATTCTCCAGGGGTGCTGGTACCCTCCTGGGGTAGTCTTCTGTTCAATTCCGCTACCATGTTGATGGGGGGGGGGGGAATTGGGCCTCTGTCCACCTGCGCTCACCAAGCGGAACGCAGAGGTAAACCTCTACTTCACGCTGGTAATCTGTAAGGTCGTGGTACCACCCCAGTTCGAGCCGGCCCATCTGTGCGACAGCAAAAGGTGCCGCGTGGCTCTACCACTGTTAACGGTTGTCTCTGAATACCGGCCTTACATTGATACTTTCTTGTAGGTATCAACATTTATTGACAAATACAATCATTTCTCAACCTTTTTTGTATCACGACCGCCTATGAAGCCAAAATGTATAATAAAATCCTTACCCCTTGCCGCCTTTATTATACTTAATGTGCTTAAATGGCAAAACAAATTTGACTGTGTTTACACTGCACTATTAAATATTTAGGTATTTGATATTAATTTAAAAATTATATGTAACGCTTGTTTGGAACTTAAAATTAGGAATTTCTTATATACTTTCCCGGTATCTTTAAAAAATTGACCTACACCGATACACTATATATTCTGTTGTAGTTGCCACCGGGTGTCGCTACCCCCAGTTTTAAACTCAAACTACACTATGTCAAAATTTGAGTCTGGCCTTGTATTATGTTATACAAAGTTTCGTCATCGTGAAGTTTGAGCTTAAACTCAAGATTGTCACTGAATACCGGCTTAAGAGTAGGGTAAAAAACTGTGTGCGTTCGCTTGCTAATGTGTGTGTTCGCTGCACGCCGCAGCTGACGCAGGCGCTCGAGAGCGGCGGCCGCGGCGCGAGCCAAGTGAGTCCCACGCATGGCCCACCCACATACTGCATCACTCGCATCTCTCATAATATGAAAAGCCACCATGTGTACATAGAGCACGTGTAGCGCCACATTAAGCCTACAGACAGCCAGACAGACAAAAATTTTGTTTTTGTTATAAGTACCGTATATACTTTCATATGCATTTAGTAAAAAGCTGTTATTTTGATATTATAAATAATAATAATAATAATAATAATAGCCATTTATTTCCCAATTTTCATACACAGTCCACACACTTCAATATTATTTATTTGTATAGATGATTATGAGAGGTTCCTATAGTGTAAGTTGCTCCTCCTACTGACTTGATCGGTTTGAAAGGTTTAATTGTGTGCTAAAGTTATTTTTTTCAATAGTTTAATTTACTAATTAGTAAAAAAGAGTTCTTTATACATATGAAAGCATACTTCAGGCTTAGTGTGTCGCTACACAATAATAAAAGTATGAGGTTTTTTCCAATTATAAACTATGTATCGATGTTTCATTGTTAGCCTTTTGGTGTTAGTCTTTTTGTCTGTGGTTGTGACATCCACAATCGTCGCAAGCCGTTTCACATCGTTGTTGTTGCATGGACAAAATTGTAGAATAGTTTCTAAAGACTGTCTGTAATTCTTAATTTCGGAACTCTGCTTATGTTTATATCATACAAAGTCATTTTTAATCGTCTATTAGGCTTGGAGACAATTCAGATTTATTTCATTTTATGTTTTTTTTTTGTTGGATTAGTGCGGTTATAGGTCAGTTAACTAAAGCTGGCATGTTCACAGTACTCACACTTATGCAATTTCTCTATACAGTATGTTTAAAAATAAATGATTTTGGTTCAAAATGCGACTCTAGTCTAAGTGTAGATTAGAGTTAGGTTTTAGTAAGATTAGGTGCGTTGTGGATAAATAAATAAAAAATATGTGTTGCTTGCTATAATATATTATAATTATTACATTATTGCTTTTAGTCAGAATCGTAAATTAAATCTTCTACCCCACTCAAACTTTCATCGCTCGAAGAACATGATGTTTCGCCGTCGGAATTTCCTAGTGTAATTATAAATGAATCAGTGAAATTATCCACTTTTAGTTCCAGTTGAATATATTTTTCCTCATGTCCTCGCGTCTTTCTCCAAACGTCACTAAACATATCAAGAGTAATAGAATCTGCTTCTTTTCTAAATAATTCTTCCACAGTTTTTAAGTTAAACTTAACGTTTTGTGATGCAACTTTCCCTTTAATTATACCCCACAGTAACTCTATTGGGTTGAGTTCTGGATGGTAGGCGCAATACACTGTGTCCGTGATCTTGGAGGATTTTATCAAGTACAAATTGTACATAGTTTGGCTTATTTTTTTTAATAATATCATATAGCATAGGTTTTGTGTTTCTTTCGGGATATGATATATTATATTTGTCCAACCAAGCTAACATGTCACTTTTTCTTGAATTTGATGCTGGTACTGGATCCGATACGACGTTGTGGTACGATGCATTATCGACTACTAAAACTGACTGTGGTGGTAAATTTGGAAGAAGTTTTTCTTTAATCCATTTCTGATAATTACCAGCATTCATATTACTGTGATAATCTCCCTTTTGCTTTTTTGCTGGATAGATAAGCAAAGCTTCTGGAATAAATCCTTTATCCGAGCAGGCATGAACTATCACTAGCATGTCGCCCTTGGAAATAATTACTTTATAACCTTCGCTCGTTTCGTCGGACCATTATCGTGGCAACGTATGCGAGCTGTGTATGTAAGATTCATCCGTATATACATAGGTCGGCCTTGTGATCTATATTCTCGCAGTTTCGAAAGATATAATGTTCTTTTGAGTCTAATGTGCCTTTTTTCAATAAGACGTTTTTTATTATTTTGTGTCTTATTCCTAGCCTATCTGAAACCTAGCCTCCGAATGACCTTTCTTAATGAAGAAATGCCTCCCTCAAAGTTGATACTTTCTTTTAACACTTCTAATAACTTTTTTAATGTCGGAAATGTTTGCTGAACCAGATGAAAGTTGTAGATAGTTCGCCTTATGACTTCTTAGTCAAAACTATCTACTGAAGATTTTTTTGCTAACCTTGGTTGCTTTTCACCCGGTGTTCTAAAAGTAACTTGAGTTACCAATGTTTTGGATGCTGGTGGCTCTCCTTCTCTTGAGGTAGACTGTTGTGATGTTGACGCTTTAACAGACGCTATAACTTGATTGCGTACTTCACAAACAACTCGTTGAACACTCTTCTGAGAAACACCAGTCGCATCTGATGTCAAACCGTACAAATCTTTCATTAAACGATCTCCGCCATCACTTTTTTATTATGATAATGCATGAAATAGTTAAAAAGGTTGTACACTATTTCCCGAGATTGTCCTGTTAAAGTTTTTCCGGAACCAATTCTTTTATTCTAAACTCCAAATATGTGAATAATTAAACGCGCTGCGTGTCGATCACACGTGACTGACGCTAACGGTTGAACACCAAAAAGACCACGCTGTATTTATAAACAGTATCAAAAGCAAAACAATCACTGTCCCCTTCACACTCATAAGCTCGATCGCGCGAGAGAGAGACGGGCAGACTTTTCATGATGCGCATGCGGTGCGACGTTACGCCAAGGGCTTATTCACAGACACTACACAAGCGCAACGTGTAAATGTGTTGTACGTGCCAGCTTTGTTTAACTGACCTATACATTTCGTTTTAATATTATTAATGTTCATCAGTATTTTGAACAATTTTTTGGTTGCTATATCATTATTTATCTGTAGTAATCATTAGCTCAATTTGGAAAAATTCATTTATTATTTTTTATTTTAATATCGATCGATTGTACTTTTTCAAAAATTCATATTTTATATTATATAGTCAGAAAATTTTAATACTATTTCTGGAAGCACGGAGGTGTGATGGTTTTATCACGTTATTCTATTTAGTTATGGCTATTTCTATCGGATACTAAATTATATTTTTTAAATTTGTAAAACACAACATAAGTATCATATAAAAGATCTTTAGGGTCTGTTTAGGTTAATTCTCTTTGAATTGAATTTTGGTTGAATTCAAAAAGTATATATAATATTTAAAAATGATTTCACCTAAATAATCTTTTAAGTGCATTTTTCATTCAATTATATGTCCTATGTGAAAGTGTATGTTATATTTGAGTGATTGGTATTTGACGATTGGACAAGAGCAGCAAGCAGCAGTGTGGTGACGGTGTGAGTTTGTGGGTCCTCAGATAATGCGGCTGGACTCGTCGTTCGAGTCGCTGTCGGGGATGGGCGGCGGGCGCTCGGGCAGCGTGGCCGACCTGGCGGACGAGGCGCAGGCGCAGCGGCGCGCGCACCGCCACTCGTACGCGGCGCCCTCGCACGCGCACGCGCACGCGCACGCGCACGCGCTCGCCGACGCCGACCCCTGCACGCCGCCCAAACCCTTCGGCCTCGGTGAGTGCACACGTCGCACATATCCTTATTCACTTCTTTTCAAATATATATTGATTCATGTATACTTTTGATTGTTGTCAATTGGTGAAACTCCAACTTCATTTTTAGGGTTCCGTACTCAAAGGGTAACCAACGGAACCCTATTACTAAACCTCCGCTGTCCGTCCGTCTGTCTGCCAGCGAGCTGTATGATCCGTAATAGGTAGACAGTTGAAATTTTCACAGAATGTGTATTTCTGTTGCCGCTATAACAACGAATAATAAAAATAAAAATTAAATTAAATGGGGCTCCCTTACAGGTTTTTAGTTTTACGATGGTACCGAACCCTTATCCGCGAGTCCGACTCGAACTTGGTCTGCTTTTATTGTGATTTGGATAAAAACTTATTGTACTAGTTTTCTTGTGAACTAGTACCAGTGCTTATCCAAATCACAAAAATATGTTGAATAAGTTTACTTCAGTCAAAAATATCGTTTGAATTTGTAAAAGGTCTTACTTTATCTCTGTTAATCATTTCCTATCATTCATTCAACATATCAATCTTAGAAGTAGTTTTATTAAGAAGAGATAAATTGGTTTTATTTATGTAAACGTTTGTACTTTAATGTGATTTTAGTTTGTTGTAAAACATATATTCGCATAATTATTTTTTACAGTAGAGATTTTTTTAGATATCCATAAAGTAAGACCTCCATATCTAATCCTCCAATCTAATTACAGTATAAAATACGCAAGCGATACTTCCGATATAATTATCTATCTCTTTCTAATCAAGTATTTTATTCTATGTCATGCCTATTGTAACATTTTTGACAATTACTAGACGCACTCACGTAATGTTATGTGATTAGTGTATTAAAACAGAATTTTATATAACACAATCTCTGCGTTTAGTATATTTCTATGTACATTAACAAATGAACACTAGTATTACAGAGTAGAAATTATTTTAGTGTTTGTACAAATTATTCAAAAAATTTGCACGACACAATAAATTGTAGACAAGTAGTATTCCCCAGCACATTGATTTAAAATGACATGAAATATATAATACAATAACGAAATAATAAAGAAAATGTTAAATAAAAACAATAACTTAGGTTTCATCACAACATCATATTGTTTCACTTTAGGCCGTCACGAGTTTACATCTGTCACTTCATACATTCTATTTGATTGACATCTTTCTATCCACTTGCTTTGTGGCAACGCTATGGCTCTTACACTTCTTTTCTTATATTTTCATTCGTTCTCTTACCCTTTTATGTTTAAGGTCAAAAATTGTATCAAATACTTTTACAGAAATTTTCGAAAACCAATTGGCTTTTTTCTGTAGAATCAATACTGTTCGGATAGTATACAAAATTTCCAAAACATTAAAGATTTGCCCTTATTTTTACTTATTTTTATATACAATTTATAAAGTTTGTGTTCTATCCGAAAAGATATACCAAAATGTCAAAATTTTGAAGCCGTCAACTGACCTGGCTTGAACTAACGTGTTTTTTTTTCTGTATCTCGAACCCCGCTACCTTCAGGCTCGTTCTTATCAGGTAAAAAGAACAATAAATCCTATTGACTCAGAATGGCAACTGTATGGCGAAACTATTAGAAGAATGTTTAATTGCAACGTGAATAATATAAGAAATAGTTGTGTTGTGATACCGTTACACGATTGGATAATCTTTGTTTCTGTTATGTCCTTGATTGGCTGTTTATGATTTTTAAAAGCTCATTTGGCTATTCTAAATTATTTAAAAAATAGATAAGCTAGCCGCAAGGGTTAGTGACGAGATTTTTATCAAACTTGCGCACTACATACAAAATAAGACTAAAACGCTGGGGCTATTAGATTGTAAATTTATTCCGCAGGCTTCAAGCGTCGAGCAAGCTTCTGTTGTTTTGTTAACTACGGTTTTGTTTGCGGTTTTGTTTAATTTGCATGGACCGAGCATGACCTATGTACTTCCTTCTCCCTTCCTCTTCGTAATTCTATTCGCTGCGAACTTCAAGAGCGAAAAGTGCTTAAATGGATTATAAATAACTTCGCTTATACTATAATAGAGTAAAAGAGTAAAATTAACTTAATTAGAACAGCCAATACTTATAATATTGTATTTTAGCTGAGAATAAAACTTGATGTGTTAAAAAACTTGAAAGACAGTCTTTGTAAGAGTAGAACGTAAACAGTAGACATAGACAAACAATATGGAACATAGCGACTGTGTGTGCTAGAAATGAAGTGCATGTGGTTGTAGTAACACGTACGGTATGCATTGATTAATACCAGTATTATTAGAAATGTAATTTACGCATGTTTTGGGGTGTGTAAACAAATGATTATTGAGGGTAACTTTACTATTTATACCAAAGTATTTGTTATGTTTAAAAAAAGCGATGTAATAGGCAAGAAATAATGTATTAGTACTAAATAATAATAATATAATGTGATATGTTTGTGAATTTGTACATATTACACTTTTTTAAATATAGTAACTATATATATATATATATATTTAGAAATATTGCTTAAAACGAAAAATATGTTAGAATGTAAATATTACTTTATTATGAATAATTTTGTAACAGAAATTAATTTGTGCAATTTATGTAATTTACATAAAGAAAACATTAATATTTCGACTTCTTACCTTCTGTTCAGAAGATTGTCTACAATTTATAATTGCTTTGTACATTGAAATGCGTTGGATATTTTGTGTCGTGTGTAGTGACTAACATTGATCAGGTGATTAACATTTCTATTGCAGCTCGACCAACGTTCCTAAACTTGAATTTGAACCTGAACTCACTACGACTGCAGACGCCGAATAAGTGTACGTGCAGACATTTAAGTCTTAGAATCGCTAGAATCGCTTTGTTTCGACAGTTTTGTTTGGTTACGTCGTCTTATACTACTTGATTTTGTATGTTCATTCTATCTTCACTCTGAATTCTACCGTGTTTGACAATAGAGTGTAATTTGCACTGTATTTAATTATTAAAATACGGTTCAATTTAAAGTGAATTTTGGATTTACTTCAATACTTAATTTCTAGATGCAATGTCGTTTTATTTTTATTTGCTACGACTTATTAGGGGTCGTTTATCGATGCGACATTGGCATGATATTAATTATTTTTGTAAAACAGAGGTTGGGTCGCAAGCAACCCACACTTTTTATTGTATTTTGTTTTAAATTTTGACAATATTTTATTTTATATACATTAATAATGTATGTATCTTTTGTGTTCCTACTTCGGCTTTAAGCATGAGTTGGCGATCATTTTTAAAATTATCTACGAATCTGCTTATTTCTCTCATTACGAATAAAATTAACATCATTAAAAATATGTAAACGCACCGCATTTGAGGAGAACTTGAGGCAGAATGGCACCATTTTGTGTATATTTTTATGAGACAATGTTTTTCTTATTCATTTTTCTTTTATAAATATTCTCTTCTAATCGGATTCCTTAATAAGTTCCATCCATGTTTTCGCGTTTAGTTATTCAATTACCGAAAACAAATCTTTATGATTAAGTTTTATATGCTCTGACTTAGTAATACGAGGGTGGATTGAAAAGTACTCGGCCTAACCAAGAAAATAAACAAATACTAAATCAGTTATATTTTTATTTTTCTACATAATCACCATCAAGTTCAATACACTTTTGCCACCTCCCCTTCCAAGCATTTAGACCGTTGAAAAAAAATGATTCTTCCTTAGAGTCAAAATATGCGTCTACAGCTGGTTTGACCTCGTCGTTTGTCGAAAATCTTTGACCTCCCAAGTGCTTTTTTAGGTTAGGGAACAGAAAGAAGTCTGATGGTGCCAGATCAGGTGAATACAGCGGATGCGGTAACAGTTCAAAGCCACAGTTGTGAATTTCAGCCATTGACTGTACTGACGTGTGAACACGGGCGTTATCTTGATGAAACAGGACTTTTCTTCTGAGCATTTCTCGACGTTTTTCTTTTATTTCCTCTCGTAAACGACGTAGTAAGGTGCGGTAGTAATCAGAGTTTTAATTCTGACCCCTTTCAAGATAATCAATCATAATCACACCTTTCGAGTCCCAGAATACTGAAGCCATCACCTTATTTGCCGACAAAATCGACTTAGCCTTTTTAGGGGGTGGTGAACCAGGTCTTCTCCACTGTTTTGATTGTTGTTTTGTTTCCGGTGTACAGTAATGAACCCATGTTTCGTCCATAGTAACAAAACGATTCAAAAAATCATCTGCATCGGCTTCAAATAACTCCAAACAGTCGCGTGAAATAGTCAATCGCGTACTTTTTTGTTCAACTGAAAGCAGTCGCGGAACCCACCTCGCAGACACCTTGTGGAAACCCAACTCGTTGACAATGATGTTTTGAGTTCGTTCATGAGAGATGCCTATAATCTCGGCTATCTCTCTAATTTTTAATCTGCGGTCTCCCATTATTAAATCAAGTACTTTATTAATATTTTCGTCAGTAGTTGACGTCGAAGGCCTTCCAGAGCGGGGTTCATCTTTCACACTCTCTCTACCACGCTTAAATTCTGCTATCCAATTTTTGACGGATGAATATGACAGAGCACAATCGCCTAATGTACTGACCATGTCATCATGGATGGCTTTTGATGATAGCCCCTTCTTATGGAGGTACTTAATGACGGCACGCTGCTCGATTTGCTCCATTCGCGGAAATTATGTCCGATTACTTTGTTAATAAATTTATAAAATCACAACTAATTATCGCACACGTTTCGAACTTCACACAATGAACTAGTCTTAACTGAACTAAATAATGTGGATAGATTTGATTTTTAGAATTGAATGGATCTGTGTTAGGCCGAGTACTTTTCAATCCACCCTCGTATATTAACATTAAAATGAAAATTCTTTGCGTTAAATTTTAATTATCTCTTTACTAAAAAATCTGTATTTTGTAATTTGCTAGTTGTAGTAAGTAAAAATCTTAGTACTATATAAAATAGATTTATTTTGCGGTTCGTGTATTATATTGTTGACTTGTTCTTCCTTACAGCGTCACCGGCGAGCGGCAAGTTAGGGTTGCGTATGACGACACTGCACGAGGAGCCCGGCCGCAGGAACGACGATGATTCGCATTCGGAGCCCGAGTCCGCACCCACAGACGAACTCTCCACGCCGCGCTCACACGTATGTTGTTCATCATCATTGAAAATCACCACAACTGCATCTTAAATCTTCCACAAAGATTATATAGAGCAAAGTTTGAAGTCAAAGTCAAACTCCGTCAGCACCCCAACATAACCTTTTATTTAATGCTTGTACAGTATTAATTTTACTAATATCGCTTTAGGCAGGAAAATATACCTACGCTGCGCGCCCGTCGAAAAATAAAACAATTTTAGTTAATTTTAATTATTTCAGTCCTGTCTCACTCCGTGCTTTAGGCATGTTAAAATATACCTACGCTGCGCGGGCCCGCATTCGGGGCTAATTCCGTGAGGTTGTCAAGCGTCCGCTCAAGCTGACGCGCGCCTTACGTTAACATAAAATTACTTTTCTCTAATAAGTATTTAGGCACCTTTGATATTTATTTTTGAGTTTTTATTCAAGTATGGCCTCTCAAAAAGCCAAAAGGTACTGCATAGCATACGGGTGCTTAAATAACAATAGAAATGTCGACTTTTCATTCTTTGCTGTTCCTAAGGATACTGTAAGGTAATATATATGTAGGTAGATCTAGATAATTAGGTATAGTTATATAGTTATATCATAGTTACAGATTTATTATTTGGTTTTTCGATATTTTCGCGTATAATGCCAATGACCCTAAAAATTCTTTCATTTTAAGTAGACCTCCCATTACTAGTGACTGCCTACTAATGCAAGATCAGCATAGACTGGTATTTGTTTAAAACTTGGTTTATAGAAGAAAGAGATTGAAAGTAGCAGCACTTTTCATTGCGCGATACAGGAGAAAATCCTAGTGTGGGAGTAACGTACTTTTTAACAAAAAAAAGAAATATTAATACATTGCATAACACCTCGGTATTCTACTATATACCAACTAATATCAAAGGATTCAATTTGTTTTCTCACAACACCTAACGCTACAGTAGAGGCGGTCTTAACAAAGGCGCGTAACGGGCTAAGTGATACAGACACTCGCACGCGGACCTAAGGTGCATTCTGATTTAATACGCGCGCCACATCATTTTTTCGACAAAATAAATGGTAGGCTGATTTCAGGAAGGTCACTTCCGAGGAGTGCAAAGAATAATGAACATTAGCGACGTTGTAACTAAGTTTAAACTCGCAAATTTGCTATCAGAGAGTGATCCTTCTGTTCTTTTAACAATTATTTATTCCGTGCTAATATTAAAGATGGAAAATTAATTAGCTAAAATCTTTATGAAACACCAAATGGTTTGTAGTAACTGGATTAAAAAAAATCTACCTCCTCCTCTTTAATTGCTTGCATTATCATTATCGCCAATAAACCCAGCATCAGATCACCCAACACAACTATCCCTTTTAATAATGTTAGCGATTAGTTATTGCAAAATCTGTTTCTCCCAATGTAGCTTTATTTAGAGGCGAAACACGTGACATGTGTCGTATTATCGATGGTGGTGTGTGATCCTAGTGTAGTGGATAGCGTGGTTACAGTTACAGCATATCAAGTGTTCACTGCTGAACATAGGCCCCGCCCACAGATTGTCTCGTAGAGGGGATATATCTTGTTATTATCTTACGACACCCGCGGGACGATATGGGGTAGTAGATATTTTTACACCACCACTACACGGACAGTACACGTGTTCTTTCTTTCTTCTTAAAATATTTTGTGTGTGAATTTTATGTAGTTTTTTTTAAGTAGTTGGTGATCCCACAGCGCACACGAGTACGCGGTGGGCCGCGCGGCTTCCTGCCGACGTCCAAGACGCTGGATTCATTGCACGAGCTGGCTTGTGAACGCGCTCCCAACAAGAACTCGCCATCTATATCATCCAGTGGCTATGGTAAGGACTACTTGTTGTTTTATTATCATAATATTCACACGTATATATACACGAGGGTACTACTTTCATGCTGGAAATAGGTGTCGCCGTTTTAGGGAGGATTTGCCTTGATTGCCAAGCTTGTTTTTTAAAGGTCAATTACAGCTATAGCATACTGTAATTAAAGTAAGCCAAAGAGTATAGTAGGTCAGGCCAAACATAATTTTTTTAAATGAATGTAAATATAACTTAGAGATATAACTTACTATGTTCTTATCCAAAAGTAAAAAAAAAATACCAATAAGTAAAATATCGCATTATATATATAAATGTTAAGTGAGAGCTGGAGAAACGACGATTGCAAGACGTTGTCGATAAATAAAATGTTTTGAGAAGTTATCAATTACCGTGTAGTGGCGGTGTATGAATACCCATACCATCCCGTGGGTCTCGTAAGAGGCGACTAGACTTGGGATTATTTTTAAATAACCGTGACCGTCGTTCCGGTTATCAAAAAGTCACAAATCATCGTGACTTTGTCACGTTGATAAAGTTGGATAACTACTTGGAACATTAGAACGACTTATAACGTCACTTTATATATCGTTGAATCGCCCTCGTACAGCTTTTGCATCGGTTGGTAATGGTACGGATATCAGCCTGACAGGTGCATCTCCGACCATACTTTCCACTGGGACATATCGAGCCGGCGTGCCACAATGTTCGTTGAGACGTTAGGGTCGTCAATAAAATGTTGTATAATTGTTTCTTCATCGTCAGACGTAAAACGTTGTGGTCTGCCAGTATCCACTTGATTGCTGTGAATAGTGTCGCTTTCACTTAATCGTCGATAGGTAGCTCCGAAGACAGAAATGTGGGGAAGCCGGCGATCAGGAAAGCGACATTGATATTCTCTACGAGCCCCAGCAACGTTGCCGTCAGCAAAACCATAACAGTACACGATGTTGGCGTATTCTTTATTAGAATATGACGCCATTTTAACTTCGACGCATAAAAACAGTAAAAATGAACAGTCAGTAACAGAAAACGGTAATAGCAATAATAATAATAAAGATAACTACTGAAAACAATAACAAATGAATTAACGCGATGAGAGTTTGTTAGAAGGAACTTTAAACACGTGCTTGCGCAGCGCAGTAGAAACTAACTAATGAGCGTCGCTATGTACGACTCAATTTAAAATGGCCGTCTGCTTTCTGAATAATTGTCAACAATCAATCAGACGCCAATTGACTAAAAGTGTTCAAGTTCGTTCCTAAAAGCAATCATTCTTTGCCGTTCTCTACCTACGTTAAGTAAAAGACCATTTTATTATTATTATTCATTGATTTCGCTGGGATATTATTACCTTTTTGGATAGCTGATTTACTGGGCATATTTAAAAAAAAATATGTCTCATGTCATAGTAATTTTTTGAAGTACGTCACATTTTATGATACATAAAGTGTAAAAATAGAAAAAAATTATTAAAACAAATATTTTTTATTGTAAATTCTTTTTGTACTTTTTATGATTGTATTAGCTTGGTTGAAGCTTCTAGAAAATAAAAATGTTTTATTTTTATTTAGAATTTAATACGAAATTTTGGGTGATTATTGAAAAACCTTTAAAATAACCGTATATCTCAAGATACATAAGCCAAATTTGTAGCATTTTGACTCCCCTATCATGCTCTGCCAGGCAGTTGTCGAGTTCCCAGTAACGCTGTATAATATGGTTTTTAAGGGGAAGTAAATTAATTAAATTTTTGTGTTTGATTAATAAACATCGTTTCATAAATTTGTGTCTATGTTGTATTGAGCTAAAATATACCTTACCTTGGAATAATGGGCACTGAACGATACACGCGCTCTATACCCTGCTTATTTGTACTCTAAGTTCTGAACACTCTTATCTATTGTTTTAAGGGGTCCCTTCTAAATATTACTATACTCTTTGGCGGGTCTACAACTTTGACAAGTAGATCGCCAAGTGAATATGCCGACGCTTGAAAGGTTAATATCAAATTATTTCTTCCATGTTTTGTCGCTGATTAATAATATTTAATTTATTGCACAGGTTCCCAAGCGGTATCATCAACGAACCTCACAATCGACGACACTTTGTCGATCCGCAGCATGTCGGTCGACGACACGCCCGACTTTGACAAGACGATGGAGTACACGCAGTTCACGCGAACCAAATCGTCCGTTCTCGGCCTAAGAAATGAGATCACCGAACTGAGGAACGATATCACTGAACTAAAGAACGACATAGTCGAGTCCAAGAACGAACTGGACGACTCGTCCTTCGATAAAGCCAAAACGCCGGTGTTGACTCCTGGTTCGAGGAATCGTATCAACCCTTTCCTAAGGGATTGTGAGAACGCCGCTAGAGAACCCCAAGATGGGCAGTTATTGGACCCTCTAGGGGCTTTACCGGTGGAGACTCATCCAATTTCGAGTAGTCCGACTAGCAAGGCGGCTGAAAACGTTCATGTCAACGGTGATGCACATGATACTTCCTTCGGTAAGTATAGATTGAATTTAACTAACGCTTTCATATATTCGCCTATAAATGTGACCAATTAGAAGGCCAAGGAATATCAACCATAGGAATATAGTCAATCATTTTTGGCTCAAAAATAGCAATTTTGGCCTAGGAATTCAGTTTAATATAAGTTAATTGAATTGCTAGGCTTATTAAAAGAAAGTCTAGCGGTGACCGGTATTGCGCATAAGTCGCGCTGATAAGCTCTTGCGTATCGTTCGCACGGGATGATTAGCTCTCCAGTCGAAGTCGTGCGCGTCCCCACCACGTATCGTTTAGCGCTAGAATTACGTGCCGCGACTTGCACAGTCCACATGTCCGGCCCAGCACATTAGTTTCGCATTTTTAGATTTTCCGACTACTGAGCGCTGCTTTGTGATCCGAATTCTGTTAATCCGTTGGAATCACAATGGAGCGTTGGAAAACCTTCAATCTCAACTTTAAACCTCATTTAGTATTTTTCAACCGACTTCAAAAAGGAGGAGACGTTTACATTTCGTCGGAATCTTTTTTTTATGTGCATACATATACCGATTACTCGAAGACGCCTGAACCGATTTGGAAAATTCTTTTTTTTTTTGTTAATTAATAGAATCAGGCGTTACTTTGTGGAACTCCATTATAATGGGGTTGTTATAAACTAATTTGCTTAATTCCGCCCAAAGAAAGTAAATTATGTGTCTTGTCCAGTTTTAAGGGGACCTCCCACCCTCCCTCAATTGCGCGCACTATACCCGTTGCCGTCAGTAGTACTGGGATTGGGAATTAGTATATAACAACCCCATTCTTTTTTTGTTTCAAAGGGTATACTTCCCAGGTGATCCCATTTAAATTTTATTGAAATCGGTCCACTGGTTTAAGAAAAATCAACAATCAATTATATTTATATTGAAGTCGGTTCTACAAATTTTTAAATTTTACCACTTATTAAATGTTTTATAGATTTGCAAGCATTCAAATTGCAATGACGGTGTAAGAATTCTATATGATTTGAATGATATCGTCCCGTGGGTGTCGTAAGAGGCGACAGAGGGAAACTGAAACAGATAATGGGCAGCAGCATCTTCTTTAAGCGTCTCCCACACACAAGCGGCTTGAGGTGGCGGGTAACCATGAGCCGCGGCTCCAGCCGCTGCAACAACACACCACCGCGGCCGGAGTGGCGGCCTGAAGCACCATTCGCTGTGGTGCCTGTGTTAAGATCGATCTTTTGTAAACATGACAAACCGTGACGAAGTCTTATTATATTCAGCAATATTATCATATATTTTATTTTTAATCCTGAAGCTATGTGATCACGATGCAAATTATCATAAAGTACTGGATAATTTTGCACTGTTTCTATTAAAATCTCTGAATTTAGCATCAGTTTTCACGCAGTACACGCGGCCTGTTGTAAAAATTTGCAAGTGACCGCGCTGCGACCACCGATTGGCCGTGTACTCGTTAACACACACGCGTTGGCAGAAGCAGATCGCAGATCGCGACAAGGCCGCACGGGTTTGCAGACGCACATTGCAAGCGAATACAACTGGCCGCCACCGCAAGCCGTTTCTGTGTGGGAGACGCTTTATAAAGACCAACTTGTCTGCCAAGTGTGGTAACTATTGCAAAATCCTCCGTATGAGGCAATCTATTGGAAGGACTATGTTTAACAGTGGATTTTTTTAGGCTATAATGCATGAATGAATGGATGGATGGTTATTTTGCAGTAGGCTTTAAAATGCTTGAAAATTTTAATACGGATCTACTCTTAGATGAAGTTGGAAAACATTCTGCAATATTGGACATGGCAAGATTATTTGAATATGATGCTTCTTATTATCTTTTCCCGTCTCTTTAGACGGGCTTAGGCAGAGTTTGATTTATGCTATAAATAGGATGACAATATTGATAAAATCTAATTAAATCTATGGAAACGCGTGCTTATCGCCTGAAAGCGCGATGGACGATGCACGATAAGGGCTGTGTACAGCAGTAACCTGCAACTGCAACAGATTGTAGATAGTGGTAATGTTGTTTTGAATTTTATAAAAGTTGATTTAAAAATACGCTGGTAAACAAATCAGGCGAGGCGGAGACGGAAGCGATAGCGGAGGCGGAGGTGGGGTCCACGAGCTCCGAGCCGTCTAGCCGCGAAGGTAGTGGGGAGGCGTCTTCAGTTGGCGATAGCGACTCGGCCGCACCAGATGCGCCTGTTTCCATACATCTTCCCGCCGGCAAGGTTAGCTTTGCAATATTTTTTTTTATAATATACTGTTCCTTTTTTTAAAGTTCTCCCACATAATGAATTTATCCTGTATATACGCTTCCACGTTTCACATACATGTTTTCTTGGCAAATTTGAAGTGACAAACGAAGTTAGTGCTAAGTGGCTACTGCAGTTCATGGACACTTAAAACCAAGTTCGAACAAAGAAGGCACAGTTGTCATGTCTGAGAGATAAGATGAAATAACTTACAGCCTGTAATAATGTTGTATTTGTAGTTGTTCAATTTATGTACGTAAACCGCTTCAACGATGTAGAAAAAAAATGTTAGTGTGTGGGTCGTTTTTCAAAAGAAATGTTTCGTGGCAGGTGGTGCGTAGGAGAGTGGGCGGCAGTGCGCGCAACGCGGCGCGGGCCTCCTACCCGGCGGCGCGCCCGCGCTCCGGCGCCGAGCCGCACGCGCACGTGCACGCGCCCGCACTGCCCGACACGCCCGCCTCCTCCACGGAGCGCATCGGTGACGGTAAACAATCTAAATATTCTCATGCACAATTTGACACCTGTGATAACTTTCGAATAAACTATAAAGAACACCGGATTTGCATCACTTTTAGGACTTTTACGACATTATCACGTAATATGAATCGGCTTGCCCACGACCACATTCGCATAGAATACCAAAAAATATATCATTCACTGGTATTCTTTTGAGTACAGGCCTTCTTGTAATATGTGTAATATTCTAATAGGGTGTTGAAATAGGGAAGAATTCGCCAAGCTGTCATAATGTTCACTGGTAGATTTTCATGTCCAAGAAATATTATTAAAATTTTTCAATTAGCAGTTATTTGTAGAGAAATGTTATAGGTCCTTCAGAGTTTTAAGCCTTGCATCGAATGACTCATGCCACGAAAAGGTGTAATAAGCACGCATTCTCTCTGATGGTATATGGGTACTTCCGCTTCATCGGTTAAGAACACTCATCATGCGAAATAGTAGTATTATTTACACTGATATGTAGTGACAGCGTGTTTATACATATCATGATAATACGAATGTGAAGTAATAAGCGCTAAACCGATACCCTCGTGCTAGTAATGCGGTTCCCTTTACCGGTCTGTGGGATTTGCGTTCGGTAAAATTGAAATTGTTTCCGTTATCAGTTGATCGTCAGAGCTCCATTCGACAGACATCCGGTATAGACCTTACTCCATATTTATACTTCAAAGGAAATGTGTGATTGACTACGATTTCAAGTCAAGAGTAAATAGGCTATTGTTAAATTAAGCCAGTAATGCATTCTACCATCCTCAGCATGTCATTTATAATCAGGTGGAATAGTAACCAAGCACCGACTTAAAATATGTAAAAAGATATTGAATGCAAAGTGAATATGTGAATAATGTGTGCAGAAGATTCATCGGAGAGCGGCAAGTCGTTCTCGGCGCCGGAATGGCTGGCGCTGGGCGAGAGCGTGCAGCTGCGCCTGAGCTCGGGCACGGGCGTGGTGGCGTACGTGGGCCCCACGCACTTCGCGCACGGACTCTGGGTCGGCGTCGAACTCGACGCGCCCATCGGTACGTTGACCTGCTCCTTCATATTATTGTGTTATATTTTTCATAATTAGTTTTTCGTAATTTGAAAATTATAGTATGTTGTAAAATAGTAACTAAACTGTTGCATTCAACACTAAAGCGTAAAACTTCAGTATAAAGCCTAATTTTATTTAATGGAATTCGTAAATGAACTTGAGTTTAGAAGTTAAATTTATTTTGATTTATATATATATTGTAATAGAAAGTGTGGATATCTTATACAAATATAAATATGCAGCAAGGAACTTTCAGTTCGTTCATTTTTAATGATAAATATGTATAGTATTCTAATTCATTAAAATATTTTATGGCTTAAACACTCACACGATTTGATTAAAATGAACTAAACCAAATTAAATATAAACTTAATTCCTCCCTCTCCTTTCCATCATTGGATAACCGATAAGCATCTACCCCTTCGTTATCGACTTTGCTGTACGGATTACAAACGATGAAGCACCGTTTAGTTTGAATGTCTTTTAATTCCATTATAATACGTCGTACTTATAGGTACAGATAGTGTTAACATTGGCATGTCGGTGATCCGAACTCTTTTCATCATCATAATCTATAATTCGAGGTGTGGCTGTGTTGTGGATACAGTCGTATTTTTTACGTGTGTACGTGCAGCGAAAAGACCTCAAAATGGCGTTGTTCCGACATGTTATCATGAGGCATTTCCTCCCACTATGAATGCAAATTTAAAGACATATTCACGTCGAAAGTAACATTGAATGTGATGTGGCCATTCGGCAGGCAAGAACGACGGGTCGGTGGGCGGCACGCGGTACTTCACGTGTCGGGCGCGGCACGGCATCTTCGTGCGGCCCGACAAGCTCGCGCAAGACCGCCGCGGCCGCAGCGCGCGCGCCTTCCGCGACGCAGAGCTGCGCCGCGCCGCCAGCAAGGGTGAGGCCTGCTCGCACGCACCCACACGTTCCCCAGATGTACCCCACACGCACCCTACACGCTTCCCACACGCATCCTACACGTTCCCCACACGCTCCCCACACGCTCCCCACACGCACCCACACATTCCCCAGACGTACCCCACACGCACCCTACACGCTTCTCACACGCATCCTACACGTTCCCCACACGCTCCCCACATGCACCCACACCCACACATTCCCCAGACGTACCCCACACGCACCCTACACGCACCCTACACGCTCCCCACACGCATCCCACACGTTCCCCACACGCTCCCCACATGCACCCACACGTTCACCAGACGTACCCGAAACGCACTATCACGCACCATCTCGCACCAACATACACCGGCACCAAAATGCATCGACACCCACCAACATGCACCGAAACGCACTAACACATACGAACACGCACAAACGCGTGTGTGAACACAACAGAACACGAGCTTACACGAACATATATGCACGAACGCCGTAGTCATGTTGCAGCTATATTATGGTTACACCGCAAATGGCAAGGCTCAACCGATGAAGGGAAGTAATAGCTTGAGTACTGAGTAATTTGGTAAATACATACTCGCTACTGGCCAAAAAAATTATACGATTTAAAATCGTTTACAATACATAAATTAATTGTCTTTTGCGAGATAATATGCTAATAAATTTAAGTGAAATTAATATTACTTAACTTTAAGTAAGTTATTGTAATTAATATGAAAAAATATATAAAACAGTTATAGTATAAACTCAGACCAACAAGGAAAGATAGAAGGAGCGCTACTTACATTTCAAGTGATTCCGTATGGTTATGGCTCAAATTTTTGATACGCACACACACGCGTATCAAAAATTTAAGCCATAATAAATAAATTCACTGCTGGCCGTATGAGGAAGCTCAAGGTCGCTCAGCGAGCTATGGAGAGGGCTATGCTCGGGGTTTCTCTGCGTGATAAACTTAGGAATGAGGATATCCGCAGTAGAACCAGAGTAACCGACATAGCCCAACGAATTAGTAAGCTGAAGTAGCAGTGGGCCGGCCATATAGCTCAAAGAACCGACAACCGATGGGGAAGAAAGATTCTCGAGTGGCAGCCTCGTACCGGTAGGCGAAGTGTAGGGCGACCCCCCACGAGACCTGGTAAGACATGCAGGAAGTCGATGGACGCAGGTGGTTCAGAACCGTGCTTTGTGGCATTCCTTGGGGGAGGCCTATGTTCAGCAGTGGACTTATGAAAGGCTGTAATGATGATGATGATGATGACATACATGCAGCTGATAGCAAATGATTTTAGATGTATGCGTGTTCTTACAATACGTTGAGCATGGTTTTGGTTTGGGTTTGTGTCATTTGAATATACACAGCGCTCCGTTTTACTTTCTTCCTTGATCTGAGAGGATAAGTTAAGTAATGTTATAAGGTGGTTTCTTCGCTTCAGCGAAACAACGTTTTTGCATCAGCTGAATTTTGATCTCGACTAAAATGACAGGACAGACACAGTGATTCATCAACAAAACAAGTCTGAAACTTGTTAAGGTTATGAACCACTGGGTGCGTTATTCGCCGAAAAAATAGACTTGACTAAATTAAATACCAAGTTACTAAATAAATTTGGGCAGCCGTGGTAGCCCAGTGGTTAAGCGCTCGCTGTGAATTTCACAGTACGCAAGCGACCTGGTTCCATCAACGTCGGCACCAATGAAATTGTTAATTGCAATTTTATGTGCTGATTTACCACGTGCTCGGCGGTGAGGAAACCTGCATGTCTGAGACATAAGAAAAGAAAATATTTCGAAGGAAAACATGTGAAGTTGGGCAGCACGGCGGACATATCCTTGTCCTAAAACACAGAGGCCAGGCATAGGCAGTGGGACGTATATATATGCTGTAACTTTTAAAATAAATTTGCTACTTTGAAAATTGTATTTTTGATCAAATTATAATATTATACTAACGAATCAATTGTCCTATTAACGACAAAAGGAACTGGTGTTTCTTCCGACTTCTATTAATATTATTTTACCTTTGTTCATAGGTGAAGGTCTACAAAATCTGCACAGATCGAGGAGTCGCGGCGACAGCATAAACGTCGTCGGCACTAAAACAAGGAGTAAATAAATCGCCACCAATCCTCCGGTCGTATCGTTCCCGTCAGGACACTATCGGACCGAATTGAAATAAACGTCCACATTACCATTTATCAGTCCGTTTCTACTTTATTTGCACACCCCCTTACGCGTTATGGTGCTTTTTACATAGTTTTATCGTTTTGTTCATACTGTCTAGTAGGCAGAGCAATATAGTATGCCTTAATTTGTTAGTTATTTAACTTTTGTACATTAAACGAATCGGTTATGTTGGTAGAAACGGTTCCTCTCGTGTTAATTGATGACATTAATAAACAATCGTAGAGGCACTAGTTTCCAGCGTATCTATCGACCACGCTAGTTAATTATTTAATGTTGCATTAGATGTCAATGTAATGTTTCATTTGTCGTATTTTTAACAATTGACCATAGAGAAATTCAACTTGTAAATAGAATTGACATTATTTTTTTCAATCATGTGATTTAATTTTTTATTATTTGATTTCTATGTAAATATGTGAATTTTGTGTGTATTATTATTAATAATAATTTAATAATTTTAGAACCAATGAATCGTATGTGATCGTTGATAAGAATTGGTGGGTTTTTTGTAAAGTTTTTTACTGTATAGTTTGTGGTAGATGTTACGGTAAATTATTTATCTGTTAGCTCAACGCCTAATATATGTCACATATGAAACCATAGTTGTTTGCATTCCAATGGCAAATCATAACCGAGGAGTTGATCTCTGTTCGCTTGTATGCATAGACAATTTTGATGTAATTTTCGGAATGAAAGGTTAATACTTTGTATGCAAAAAGTAGTACAGCCATGCTGCTGCAGCTGTTGTATGACGGAAACAGGAATGAGTTGACTTGACTGGGGACGTATGTAACGCGGCATTTGACATAATCTCCACAGCATCCACTTATAATCAAGTGGACTGTAAAAAAAACCGAGTAGAAGATATCTTTCGGTACAATACGTCAAGTTGAATAATGTGACCGACTACGAGTCGCACTTATTTATTTTATCGAAAACCAGATGTAATAGGTATAATGTACACAGGCAGTTAATCTTCAAATGATCGATACAACATTGAACAACCTTATTTACAATACGAATAAGTCTATGTATCCAACCGAATGAAGAGATAAAAAATCGATTTTCGAACATGTATATGAGTGTAAAATATTTTATTTTTATACCTTATCGTGCTCATTGCATAATACTTTTTATTGTTATTATATTAAATTGATATGTTTTATAAGTTTTAAGCGTGTTGTATTAAAAATATTTTATGGACTTAAATACTGCTTTTGGACTTAAATGTTGCTTTTACATTGCATTTAAAACAAACATTTCAAAATTGCTCAGCTCTTAACATTTAAAAAATTGCCAGTCTAATGTGATAGTTTCTTGCCACGGGACTAAAGACCATAACTGATTTAACGTAGAGTATATTATTTAATGCAACGCCCGTCCCTAGACGCTCTATTTTGATTTTTTTTAATACAATAAAATCGTCCAGTTTCACATCTTCGTCCTAATAAAAGACTTTTGGTACTTAGTACACTAACAGTGGCACTTGACGGTCACGATCGATGCCCGAATAACACACTGGTTGGCGCAAGTGACAAGCTTAGACGGGTTTTAAACTACATTTTTAAAATGGACCATTACAAATTGAGTCACTTCTACTACTTATTCTTACTGACTGTTCAATTTATTTGTTATTTTGTTCTGTCGTACTTAAATTTTATTCATTATACGCTTGTTACTTGCGCTCCGAATTTATATCGTTTAGGTTGTGTAGAAGTTTTGAGATGTAAAATAAAATATATAAAAAAAAATGTTTGTAGTCGTGTTTCGGCACGGTGTATATTAAATACGTCATTAATAAATCAATATTGTCCTTAACTTATAATCTCCATCCGCATTCGAACAATAAGTCGATAGAGCTATCTGTAAATTTACTAGTGGGACAACTCCGATCTAACGCCATGAAAATGTTTTTATGGATGTTTCGTCGTTTTGGACAAATTATATCATATTATTTAGCGGAGTAGTCGCGTTTAACCGGTCGTGTTAGGATATGTCCAGTCGGCCGCGTCGTCGCAGCGGCTATAATCTATATAGCTCATCTAATGTATATTCCATCCTTCTAGAGTAATAAACATAAGTACATTATGAGTACATAAACAGTTGAGATGCCTCGTTGTTTACTAGTGTTTATAAGGTATTCACTTCTGCATTAATTGTAGCCCGCCACTTGCCTCCATTTCCATACACAATGTATATTTACATTTAACTTGTAAGTTATTATTCATTATATAAAAAATATAAATGTTCTCACGGCAGTATAATATCAACAAGTTTAAAAGATCGCACTACAGAATTTAAGCTAACTCTATACTTAAGCTTGAACGTATAATTTTCTATGGACTACATCTCGCGAACATCGCGTGCATGTTAGACTTGGTACTTAAACATTCCATTTTTATTTCTTTTCATGTCTCACGAAAACTGACATTCGATAGAAGCAATTTTCGATCGTAAGTTAGATTTTTATAGATTTGTTTTTAAGAAATTCATTTTGCATTTTACGCTTCGAAAGATAGTGTTTCTGTATGTAAGAAACTGGCCTCGACTGGGACAGCTCAATGTGTAGTCGACGTCTTAACATTGAAATTTCAAATAAAAGTAGGATGTGTTTTGAAACTCTTGATGTGCTTTTATCCAGTAGCTATAGTGGGACACGGGCTAAAAATAATTGAAGAAAGGCAATAACAAGGTTTTGTGAAGAGGGCTGGTTCGTGGCGGAGTATGCACTAGGGCTCCTAGGTTTAGGCTAATAGCGACCTTGAAGCAGCCTATCGTAGCTCCTATTTTTTTTAGAAATTAAGCTGAACATGTGCTGTGCTTTTGTTTTAAACGATAGTTTTTAGGTAAATGAAATTATTTGTTTTATATTATAATTTTATGATCGTGTAGTTCATATTTATTGCAGTCAATTCAGTCATAATGAGCTTACATGTATGTGTTTTGTTTCACTGCATCGTGTCAAGAATTGTTTTTAGATTAGAGCGGAATTGTAATTTTATTTGCCAGTTTTGTAAAATAACTTTAAATCACAAAATCAAATGTATTTTTAATTCTTTTATGTGATAAGCAAACATAGTTTAGGCAGCTACTTGGTAGCATAGATGGTTGGATCTTCATTACTGTAAACAAAAGCATGAATAAAGAGATTTTAAACTTTAATACAAAAAATAGGTAACTTTTAGTGGAAATATTTTTGCCAAGTAGGAAATTTCAGTCAACCATCGCTGTCATTATCAATAAATGTATTATAAAATAAAACTATTTTTATTTATTTTCAATAATACCATTTTCCTTCTTTAATCATTTTATCTTTATAAAATTAATAGTTTTATTTCTAGATCGTGCTTATAGTTGAATGTTTTTTTTTAATTTGTGGAAAACTTAACTGTAGACAATATAGTTTCATTTTCTGGTTTTCTTTTATTATTTAATGGTTCTTTAAGTGTCAATGTGTTAAGTTCACATTGAGACTTGAACAAATAAGTTAAAATATTGCTCGCCATCGATGCAGCCCAATAATACCCGCCTTATCGATACCTTTACTGTGACACCGAAATATCGTTAAGTTTCAGCTTCGGAAAGGGTCTTTATGTAGATGCGGTCGAAGCGGATGTGGCGGCGAAGGTCTTAGGATAAGCGACCCTGCCCTTTTAACATTAAAATATAATCACAGAATAAATAATAGTTAAAAGAACAGAAGGATCACTCTCTGATAGCAAACTTGCGTCTTTAAACTTAGTTACAACGTCGCTAATGTTTATAATTTATTTATTTATTATTAGATACATGCTTACAAGCTAACATATAATAACATCCAACACGCTTGTAACCACGCTTAGAATATATCTTAATTTACTAATAAATTTCATCAATCCATCAGCAAATAAGTCCAGATCATCGTGAGCAAGTATGTCACCAATCATTCGTAGCGCGCGGACAGTGGGCGCGTGCTGGTGCGCGCGACTGGACGCGCTAGCAAACGAGGCTGGCGGCGTGGGGCTAGATGCAGCCCTGACTCCTACCGTATATTACGGGGAACTAAGATGTGTACACTCTCTAGTATGTGCGGACTATCGATCTTGTGATATAATATAGAGAGATAGTGTGTGTGATATAACACTGCACACCTTAGAAGTGACCTTCGTGAAATTAGCCTACCGTTTATTTCATCGAAAAAAAATATGTGGCGCGCGTATTAAATCAAAATGCATCTTGCGTCCTCGTGCGTGAGTCTGTATCACTAAGGCTTTTTAAAGACCGCTTCTACTGTAGGGTTAGGTGTTGTGAGAAAACAAATTGAATCCTTTGATATAAGTTGATATATAGTAGAATACACCGAGGTGTTATGCAAGGTATTAGTATTTTTTTTATTTATTTTTTTATTTTGTTAGTAAGAAACGTTACCCCCACACTAGGATTTTCTCCTGTATAGTGTCTCGTTAACAAACATAAATTGCACAAGGATAAATATCTATATCCGGAACAATTATTTGTAGGCCAAACAAATACTTGTTCCGTGCGGGATTCGAATCCGCGGCCCTTAGCGCTGCAATTAATTACTAAGCCACTGCGCCGCGGAGCCGTCACTTGTCTGTTTCACATTTTTTGCTATTTACAAACATGCGACATGCGACTTCATTATTAATGAAAGAGTGACAATGAAAAGTGCTGCTACTTTCAATCTCTTTCTTTTATCGACCAAGTATTAAACTAATAACCAGTATATTATGCTGATATTGCATTAGTAAGCAGTCACTAGTACTGGGAGGTCTACTTACACTGAACGAATCTTCGAGGTCGTTGGTATTATATGCGAAAACTCGAAAACTGCGAAGCTGTAGTCGGGTCACTAATCAAATAATAAATCTGTAACTATGACGTCAGTAACTAAGTACCTCATTATCTAGATCGACCTATAAATAATAATATATTTACTTTCGATATCCTTAGGAACAGTAAAGAATGAAAAGTCGACATTTCCATTGTTATTTAAGCACCTGTACTTATGCTATGCAGTAAGTACCTTTTGGCTTTTTGAGAGGCCATACTTAAATAAAAACTCAAAATAAATATCAAAAGTGCGTTAAAACTTATTAGATAAAAATAATTCCATGTTAACGTAAGGCGCGCGTCAGCTCGAGCGGACGCATGGCAACCTCACGGAATTAGCCCTGCATACGGGCCCGCGCAGCTTAGGTATATTTTAACATTTCTAAAGCGCGGAGTGAGACAGGCCTGATATAATTAAAATTAACTAAATTTGTTTTATGTTTCGTACTAGACTACTTCTCTATACGTCGTAAAAAATAAACAGGCGCTTTCCTGGGACACAAAATGCCTATGCATCTTTTGCAACACATTGCTATATCACAAAGCACAAGTATTAACTGTACGTTAAAAGACAGAACCTCTCTTTTTTCCTGTACAATCCCCTTATTCTACAGTGTGAAACGGTAACACATCATTATTATCATTACAGCCATTCACAAGTCTACTGCTGAACATAGGCCTCCTCCAAGGCATGCCACAAAGCACGATTCTGAGCCACCTGCATCCATCGACTTCCTGCATGTCTTACCAGGGCGTCACTCCATCTAGTGGGGGACTTAGCTCGCCGGTACGAGGCCGCCAATCCAGAACCTTTTTCCCCCATAGGTTGTTAGTTATTCGAGCTATATGGCCGGCCTATTGCCACTTCAGCTTACTGATCTATGTCGGTCACACTGGTTCTAATCCTCATTTCTAGGTTTATCTCGCAGAGAAACTCTTAACGACCTTGAGTTTCCTCATCCGGCCAGCAGCGAAGAACCACGTCTCAGTTCCATACTGGCAACACACACTGGTTGTACAGTCTCGTTTTCAAGTTTTGAGGTATAACTGACGAGAAGATGTGCAGTAATTTCCCGAACGCTGCCCAGCCCAGTTAAATCCATCGATTGACCTCTCGGTCGAAGTTGGACTTACTTAGTCGGACTATTTGTCCCAGGTAAACATACTCGTCAACAACTTCGAGCTTAGTGTTCCCAATAACTACCGGCATACGTGTGTCATGGACGTTGTACATGATCTTTGTTTTGTCCATGTTCATCTTAAGACCTATCCATTGGGAGGCACTATTGAGGTCATTGAGCATAGTGCTTAGCTCCTTCAGCGATTCTGCCATAAGGACTATATCGTCGGCAAATCGAAGTCGAGTGATGTACTCGCCGTTGAAGTTAATGCCGTATCCTTATCAGTCCAGAAGCTTGAAAACGTCTTCCAATGCAGCGGTGAGTAATTTCGGGGATATAACGTCACCCTGTCTTACACCTCTCTGCAGTTGGATAGGTTTCGTACTCTAGTTCTGTATTCGGATAGCCATCGTAGTCCTACTGTACAAACACTTCAGCACTTCGATATACCGACAGTCCACTTGGCACCGCATCGACGGAATCAAAGGCTTTCTCACAGTCCACATACATCAAACATAGTGGCAAATTGTACTTCTCGGACTTCTGTACAATTTGCCGAAGGGTATGTATGTGGTCTATGGTGCTAAAGCCTTTTCGGAAGCCGGCTTATTCGGGAGGCTGGAGATTGTCGATTCTGCATATGAGACGATTCGTATTGACTCTCGATAACAGCACGTAGACGTGGCTCTGAAAGAAAATCGGTCTGTAGTTCTTCAAGAGAGCGTTGTCACCTTTCTTGAAGAACAAGACTACCGCACTTCTGCTTCACGCCTCCAAAGTAGTGCCACCATGGAGGAGGGAATTAAAGAGCTTCTGAAGGACTTTAAGTACCGGTTTTCCACCCGCTTTCAGAAACTCCGCTGTAATTCCGTCCTTGCCCGGGGACTTGCCGTTTTAAAGGTGCTGGAGAGCCATTCTAATCTCGTTCAGACTGACGTCCGGAATATCATCGTAATATAGTGTTGGATAAGACTTGCTCTTGGATCATTACTCACACTTGCGTGTGGCTTCAACGATGATGTGTACAGCTGCCCATAGAACTTTTTAATCTCACTCAAAATCTCAGGGGTCCCGGAAACGACGCTGCCACACTCGGTATTCAGCTTTGAGAGTTGGCTCTTTCTGGCAGATAGATCTCTAGCAAAGAATTTGGAGAAGTAGAGTCGGGATTAGAGAAAGAATGTGCAAATCTTTTTCTCGAAATGGTTAAACTTCACCTGCACGTGGTGCACCTTGCTAGTTAACGACGAGCCTGTGGTAACTGATTTATGTCAGTAAATCTAACCAATAAAGTGTTGAACTCAAATTTAACAGATTGGTCATGAAGAGCAGTGCTACTAGCTACGTACTTAACTATTCTTCTTGTTAGCGTGGTGATTATAGGCAAATGCACATAATATGTCTCTAGACTCCGGAAGGAGTACTCACTACTCGCCTTATGACCAGTATGTGCCAGAGCGTTCAGCTCTAATACTGGCGTGGCGTAATGTATTTGCGAGCGGGTAAAAAGGATAAAAAGGGTCTTCGGTTATCTACACTCACTATACGAAACACAGTAGCATTTAGCTGCTATTTTACGCTGGTGTTCTGTGAGAGCGTGCTACTTCCCTGTTTGAGCCGACCCTTTCGTGCTACAACTATACAATTAGTATACCTGCAGCATGGTTCTACCACATTAAACATTTGCTGTAGACCAATATTTTGTTGGCATGTCATTGTAAAATGTGGTGTATTGATGGTCTTGGTTCTTTTTATTAATCATTCTGTGTCTGAAGCAGAATATACCTATATACAATTAATATGATTCCATTAGAAGCCACAGAGGCTAAGAGGTGACCGTTAATTTTACACTGCGTGAGCAACCAGGTTTTGATCCCCACCAGCGAAAAATTGTTTAAAATAGAAATTGTTAATTGCAATTTTAAGTGATGATTTGCCGCGCGATTTACTACCACCGAGTGTAAGGGAAACATATTGAGGAAAACTGCATGTTGTCTTCAGAATATAATATTGAGGAGACATCTAAAGTACACCAAGACGTACTGTAGCAGCATGGCAGATTAACCGCTCTGAAATGAGAAGAAGGCTGTGCCCAGCTGTGGCGCGTATATTGTCTGTAAATTTTCTTTTTCATTATCATACGATTGGATTTGTGTCTCCAATAAAAACATGAAGGTAATTTAGCGACATGCTACCTATATTTTATGGCAAACCATAACTTATTACATAACCTAATATACGTTTGATAAATTTACATACAAGTTATAAGCTCTAAGCGTTGTTGTTGTAAATTTAATAGATAATAAGACTACTTTCCTGCATACTAAACCTGTCTAAATTGGTACAAACCTTTTCTTGTTTCTGCAAAGCGTGTTTAAGCTCAAAATCAAAATATCGAGTAATAGACGTGAAAAAAAAACTGATGTTGATTTTAAGGTCTTTGTGTGAATGTTCACCATTGCTAGACAGTTCACAGTATTTACTTACAGTTCGTAGCATATTCCGTTCTTTCATACTGCGAAAAATTTTGCCAACTTTTGAATTTGAGTTTAATTTTAGGTTTTGTTTAAATCTTTGCCTTAACTGCCTTGTTTATCGTGTTAAGTGTGAATTGTTACTGCAAATAAACAGAGAATGCTAGATCTAAAAGCCACTCAAATCGCTAAGGCTGTTACTTTAATTGAAACTAGGCACACCTACAAACATGTGACTCAGACATTACGAGTATCGAAAACGAAGCTCCAAGAAGTTAGAGGGGCTACAAAAATTAAATAAATTCACATTTGCCTGCCAGAGACACCTTTCTTGTTACGTGCCATCGAGAAGCCCGAGTTGATTGGGCCGGCAATCATGAAAATTGGAATTCATTAATTAATTGGATTCAAATTCTATTCACAGATGAGTCCAGATTTTGCCTGAAGTCAGATGATGGAAGGATTAAAGTGTGGAGTCGCCCGGGAGAGAGGTACACTCAGTGCATCATTATTGGAAAAGAGAGTTATGGTAGAGGGTCAGTTATGGGGAGGTATTTGTATGGGGCAAGTAGTTGTAGGGTCACTAACGGCAAGATATGTAACTAAGATTTTGGAACAACTTGTAGTATCACTTGCCCCTTTTATATGAGATAGATTTCTTTTTATGCATGATAATACACGCCCCCATACTGTGGCCGTAGTTGTTGAATATCTTTGAAACGTTGAAATCGATTGCAATTTTAAGTTAACAAGTAATAAGCAAAATCTAAATTAATAAACTTAATTGTCACAGACTCCATGATATTTTGTTTCATACCTGTTCTTTTATAGAGTAAGGGTGACAATCGAGCATACAGTCCACATGATGGTAAGTGGATACTGCAGCCCATTGACATCTACATCTATGCTCGATTAAGAATCAAAATGCAAATGCGTTGTCACTCCTGAGGACTAAGATGGAATGCCTCTTTTTTAGTAAAACGGGTCTCCGGCTCTCTACACTCACCATACGAAACACAGAAGCAATGAGCTGCTATTTTACGCTGGTATTCTGTGAGAGCGTGGTCCTTCCCTGGTCGAGCGGACCCATTCGAGATATAACCATAATATAGCTGTAGCATGACTCTGCTACGTATATATTTTATTGCGTTCCTATAAATTTTATTACATTTGCTAAATGTATATATGTATAATAGGTAATATATTTGCTCTAAAAGAAATCTTACCTCAACAATGTTCATATTTCGAACAAAATAATCATGATTTTCTTAAACTCAATCGGTAAATGTCCCTCAACAATTAATATACAATTTGAATATTTTTAAATTGCTTCCGCCTTTTACTTAGAGTAAAGGTCTAAGCATCAGTTGACCTTATTCGCGACGACGTGCGAGTGTCGTCTTGCTGTCGCGCGGTCGCAGGGTGGCGCGCCTTTTGCCTGGCACTGCTTTACTTCTGCCAAGAACTGTACTGTCTGCAAAAGTAGTTGAACTCATAGTACATGATTTGTAATTAATTAACAATATCATAATTACAACTGCTTACAATTTTACTAATTTATGAGCTCATTAAGCTCTTGTTCGTTACCTATCAGAAACGGTGTCGTTCTCGTCACCAATCATACGGAAACAGTGTGTAAACAGTTCTGTGTGAGCGTGGTAATTTCCTAATCGAGAATAATGGATCGGCCATTCGTGCTGCAGCTGTAATACGCTGTTACGCAAATTGGCTCTACCATATAGAAAAGCGGCTAAAGCCAGGGCATTAAAAATTTAAGTATCCACTCTACTACCTATACTTCCATTGCAGGTCTTGGACATCCTTAGTAGTGAATCCATTGATTCTGATGCGTGTTTGGGCTTGTGCAATAGCTGTATTAAGACATTTCCTTCCAACGGAATTTATGAGTTTAGGTAAAGCATGTTCGTAGTGAAAAATATTTACTAATAATATTTTAATGAATTTTGATACAGTTAACAGATGACTACCCAAGTAACATAATTAGCTATGTAATGAAAAAAGTGGAAACCAGAAAAATATGTTATAGTCTTTCTGTACAAATTATTGCTATATTAATGCCAGCTGTTTAAAAGCGTTATCTTAATATTTTAATGAGCCTTAAACTGTACACATATATACTGAGAAGAATTTTAACAAGCAATATTTACTATAGTCGTGCTAATAATATAAATAATGTAAACACATGTTCGGTGCGGGATTGAAATCCGTGGCCCTGCAGCGCCTCAACCAAGCGCTTCGTCACTGTGCTACGGAGCCGTAAATATGATATTATATATTTTAAAACATTAAAATTACGTTTAGAATTTTTTTTGCGTACGGTAAATAGGTAATATCTATTTTCGTATAGCAAAGTTTATGCCTCGTTACAAAGGAGACATCGTTCCATAATGGCATCGCATTTGAATTGCGTGACTTGCCGTTCGAAAAGGCTTTAACATTTCTGTGTTGCCTTCAATAAGTAACTGGTGGCCGCATTGGCTGCTAGCTTCAAAATCCTAACGCCTTCTATTCGAAATGTCGACGTAATCCTATTCAAAATCAAAGATGGACCAACCGGGTCCGTCGTCTTCGAACCAAGATCCTCGTTTTGATTTCATTGGCTCCTATGCTGTAAAATCTTTAAAGCTTAAACCAGAAAAATGGATGCGATTAGTAAGCGTAGAGGAACACAGGTCCATTTTAAAAGAATTCGTAGATAAGCCTTTTCCGATGCTTCTAATGGTAATATTGACGCACGCAGCGCAGCTAGTTCCTGTTATATCTTTCCCATGTTATTTAAAGAATAAAGCTGTATATTACATAAAAAAGAAGGCCGATATCGTCCCTAAGGAGAATTGCGCTGATATGATTATTTTTGGTAAGTAAATTTTCTTCTTGTTCTTTATTAACTTTATAAATGTACTAATATGGGCTTCCCCATAGTAATGAGAATTTGCTGTAATCGCCAAGCTTGGGTTTAAAGATCGCTGTAGATACCAGGACGTGTTTCGCACCTTTAACACTGCTCCCTGTTGCCCTGAATGGCTTAGGTGTGATAATCGTATCCCAACCTATCGGAAGCCGTGTGATTTCTTCACAATTTTCTCCAGTAAGTTTGTATGACATCCGTAGGATGGAAATGCAGTGATTAGACGGCAATCTAGCGTTGATTAGACGGCTAGTTATTTTACTTTAAACAAATACAGATCCTTTGAGGAACTTATATTTTTTAAATTGTAGGTGACTTGGCACCAAGGTTAATTGATGAATTGGCGTCTTTAGTGGATGAAGTATTTGTTCCTCTTTTATCAAATCCATTAAATCACGAAGGATGGCCGTTAGTTGTTTCACAAGATATTCTGAAGCAAATACATAACCTTAAGAGCACGGTTTACGAGGTGAGCAGTAATATGTACTTGTATCTATAACTTAAACAAAAGAACTTTTGAATATATTTAATTTGATTTAAAATATATGATGAGATTGTTAGCTTATACGAGACTAAATAGCAAAATAAAAAACGATGAATTGGCCTAATCTCATTTCTAGAAAACGGTAGCCTTTCTCGCTTAGCAAACCTATAGTTAGAACAAATCAAGCATCTTGATACCAACAAGTATAAGCCTAACACTATAAAGTATTAATGTGGTAGTCATGCTGCAGCTATATCATGGTTGTAACACAAGTGTATCGACTCGGCCGGGGAAGGACCACGTTGTCACAGAATACCAGAGCGAAACAGTTGCTTAATGCTGCAGTGTTTCGTAATGAGTGTAGAGAACCGGAGAGTCGTTCTATTTATCTTAGTCCTCAGTGGTACTTATGCATCTGCATTTTGGTTCTTGATCAAGGATAGTTATAGATATCAATTGGCCAAAGCATCCATTTACATCAGGTTGACTGAGTGTACGTTTGTCACCCTTATTTTATAAAAACGTATTTTATATTTTGTAAATATATAACATTTAATATTTTTACTGTAATTGTTTAATTTTATTGTAAGAAAATTACTTAATGTAACATACACAATAACTCTTAGTTTTAGTGATATACTTAAGTATCAGAATGTAGAACAATAATTTAAAATATTTTAATAATTTATCTGTTCAAAAGAATCCTTATATTTAAAATAAATGTTTTGTAATTAGGTCAAAGGCAAAGTTAACGGACAGACGGTTCTCCCGATGCCTGTGGGTGTGGAGCTAGTTCACGATGCGGAGAAGGAAATGTTAAAGGGAAAGGAAGTTGATTTATATTTGAAGAGTGCTATTGAAGGAGTGGTCATTAAATGGGCTCAACAGATCAATGACGTCATGATGGAGGATTCATCGCAAGCTTTTGAGAACGGACAAAACCCACTGCCTAATGTCGGTTAGCATTATTTTTGTAGTCACAATGATTGAACTATTAACAAAGTAAAGGTACTGCCTAAATACGACCCATTGTTGGTAACAGGCCCCATTTCATTTCTGTGAGAGTTATGAAATGGTCAGTCTATCATACATGTCCTCGAAATACTTCATTTTTGAGTCATGCAGGTTTCCTAGCGATGTTTCTCTTCACCGCGAAGCACATGCTATCAGTAATTAACAATTTCATTTGTACTGGTGACGGTGGAACTCCGGTTGCTGTCGTGCTATTAAATTTACGGCAAGCCTTTCACCCTTGATACCACGACTCACAAAAGTTATTATATTATAATCAACTTCAAACAAGGAACGTTGGAGGTGTGTCCTCTTCATTTGATGGGAGCTCGTACATTTACTTAAAATCTTAAGACAAAAGTTTAAGTCATGCAGTGCGATTGTGTAACACTGGCGGTAATCGTTGGCCGGTTTGAATAATTGCCCACAGCGTTATCTTTTTTTTCATTATGATATCGTTTTGTAACCTTACATAAAATATTCATATAAAAACCAGACAAGGTTTATCTATAACTCAAACCAACCAATTTTTATCTATAATTTTAAAAGATTTTTGCCTATTCTCGATACTGTTACACGAATGCCATAAATTCACAAAGATAAATGAATTAATTTTACGGATATTATCGTGTTTAATTTTAACTTTATGTTTGGTTAAGGGGGGTGCTGAAAAGTTAAAATTAAACGCGATAACTCTCCCAGAAGTGAGAGGAGCAGAGGAAAAATGTTCCCCGTTACATCACGGTCGAACTTCAAACTAACGTGTTGCTTGTAGACCGTGGAAATTAATATAAAAAAAAGAACAATAATCATGTAATAAAACTATAAATTAACAGACTTTGCTTCTCGTCAAATTTCATGATTCTAGGTTACCCGGAAGTACCCCAAAGGTTTTGATGGTGATTTTGTGAGTATCAATATATGTGAGATGAATCACCGTTTCTTTTAATTGAGGACCGTTTTTTTCTTTTTAAACCTAAAAACCCTAAAATACATCAATAATCAATTCTTCTCCAAATGCTAAGGTCGCCTGCATATAATGCATTAAGTTATTCAACGTATTTGACTCTGACCGTCGACTGGTGGTAGAATCTATACAAAAATATCTTGTTTATTTGCCTCTCATCATCATCGCGTGCGAACAAAGTTGAGGTTGTTATTTTAAGAAAAAGTTGATATATATTTCCGGTGTGTGCTTTTCACTGTATACAAGGCTTCCCAGTAGACTTTATCTAGAAAATTCAGCAAGCATTAGATATACTGCATGCTTTAAGCGCAAAGCGCGTAGGTATGTTCTACTAGGCCTAAAAATAACCAAGATTACAACGTTTTGTCACATGAAATCGTATCTTACAATCATATTGAACATATAAATAATATACATAAAAAGCACATTGTCAGAAAGAGAAATGATTGTTGAACTTATTATTATTTTTTTAAATCGATCAATTGCTATTTTTACATAAAAAGCGATTTTAGTAGTATATAGTTACCATACTTACCATACTTCATACTCAATTACATTTAGGTTAAGCCAGTAACCCCTGAAGGGGCAGACAGAGTCCAAAGAGCAGCGAACCACTCCATCACATTTAGTCCAAAACTGGGTATAGATGGTAAATTAGGAAAGAAGTGATAGGTTGCTTGCATCACAAACCCAATATCCCATTAGTCGCATTTTCCTGCTAGGCAAGTAACATAGTTGGTATATATTTTTTGTTATAGGTCCCACATAAACGTGGGAGCTATAAGTACAAGACGAACATGGGACAAATATAAACGTTAAGCCATGTCTAAACATTCGTTAACTATATCATAACAGAACAATAAACAACACTTTAATAAAAAAAAATACTAACGACCTAAATAATCAAAGTTGCACAACGTTATATTATTTGAAGTTTGTTGGATGATGATGATAGATGTATGAGTAGCAAAGATGCGTCTTCTTACTGTAGAAGGCGAGTAGAAGGTTAATTCGTCTTTTGCCCTTACCGCCATAAGTACGTTGTGAGTTAGATACAAGAAGAGCACATTCAGAAAGTAGATTTAAGTAACTATGAAAAAGTACAAAATTACGCTACCATTCACTTTTATATCCTAATTACGGTATTAGATGTTAATATGGTTTTTTTGGACTTTACAATTTAAATTTAATTTTCAGAGCTAGCGTTTTGGAAATCTAGATTAAACAATTTAAATTATATTTACGACCAACTACGTACAGAAAGGGTTCGATGTATGGCTGTTATACTGGAAAAAACTACGTCGGCTTACTATCCGTGTTTTAGTCGCTTATTCAAAAATATCGTATCAGGTAAAGAAGCAAGTTATAGTGTAGATGACCGAATATTACTGGCCACCTATAAATTAGAACAAACCACACTTATTCAAAAGATTTAATGTTTGTATATGTTTTTTTTAAGCATTGGCAGAAGCTCGTGAAATCGATTTGTATCTTAGAACATTAGAGAAACATTTTCAAGCATTTGAAGATACTGATTTTACCGAGTGTCAGCCACTATTTCGACCTATGTTTCACGTCATTTGTATGATATGGAGGGATTCTAAGTATTATTGCAGTTCTTCGAAGCTAATGGTTCTTATAAAACAGATATGTAATCTTTTAATATATCAGGTAAGAAATTAATTAAAGAATCAAATTAGCACTTTCTAAAGCAATACTTAATTAAAAAAAAAAAAAACTTTCAGGCAAAGAAATGCTTAGACCCAAGTACACTGTTTCATAGTGACATTGATGAAGCTGGACAACGTATTCAAGTTACAATAAATATTCTAAAAAAGTTTAGACAAACCTTTGACTATTTCAAAGAAAATTTACCGAAGTATTTCGTTGATCGGACAGTTATACCCTGGACTTTCCACCCCAATGTTGTATTTGAAAGGATGAATAATTTTCTTGAACGTTTAAATACAATTCAGTGGTTCTTTAAAACAGTTTTAGAGTTTCAAAAACTAGAAAAAATTGAAATAGGTGGCATGAAAGGCCGCGTATTAAGTGGACAAATTAGGGAAATTTCAGCAGAATTTGATGCTTATTTTCATGGATTTGCATCAAAGTCTTACGATGTTTTAGACCCAGATGATGAAACGTTTAATGCAGACTTTAAAGAATTTCAAGATAACATTGTTGATTTGGATCTGAAATTGTCCACAGTATTAGTTGAATCGTTTGATAATTGTTCTACATTAGAAGCCATTTTTAAGGTACATAATATAGTTAAAATGTTTTCAGAACTAAACAGTTGAGTACCTAAAGCATTTATAAAATTACTTTTAAAATAATTTTCAGCTAATTGAAATTGTCGGCTCTGTATTAGATCGTCCGCTGATCAGAAATGAATTCACAGCTAAATATGTAGAAATAATTGTAATGCTTGAAAAAGAACTAGAAACATGTGAGGCAAGTTATTTTAAATCATTTAAAAGCTTTTAAAATATGTTTTGTTAAACAGATACCAATTAAAGTTTATTCCACAGGAACTTTTCACCGAGCAGTCAAACAGGCACCAGAAATATGGACACATGGAAATTGACGCATTTATGCCTCCCATAGCTGGGGGACTCCTGTTCATGAATATGCTGGCTACAAGGATAACCAAGCCTATAGCCAGCTTTCGCAATTTGCCGCACCCGTAAGTCATCTGGGTGGGGCAAATTGCGAAAGCTGGCTATTTGACTTATATTCTTCTTTATAGTTGCAAAATACTTTTAGTAATATCCCATCTTTAAAATAACTACTAATTATTATATACCTACTTATTTTATGTGCAAAATTTTTATTTTCTTATTACACTTATATGTTTATATATACATATTTTTATACAGGATAAAGGGTGCGGAAGAGGCTGTGAAATTATTTACGAGATACGAAAAACTCATTGAAAATATTAACGAGTTTAAAAAGAAGTATTTTAATGACTGGGCTATTAATATTCCTAAAATTATTGAAGAAAAGACAAACAAACCAATTCTGGCACGACAAGGATCAGATTTAGTACTGAATTTCAGCCCAATAGTAAGTAAAAAAAATACTGTTCTTATATCGTAATGAATCTCTTCCTTCTTTGTTGATTCCGAATGGTCCATGTTATCTCCGCCATTGTAGGAAGAATGTGCAGTAATCGCTACGCTTGGCCATTCGCGTACTATAAAATTTACGGCGAGTGCTTCGCACCATAGTTACCATAGCTCTATTATATGGTGTATATTTGTTGCCGTATAATTCTTTCAATAAATATTATATTTAATTCAGCTTTTAGATCTTATGAAGGAAGTTCGTCATATGAGAAACAACCCTGACGTGCAGAATTTATTGCCTAAAGAAAGTGTAGAATTATTTGACAAACAAGAAACTTATCGTCAATATAGGATTAACCTAGGTATAACTATTGATTGGTATAATCAGATTAGAAAAGATAGTCAGAAGGTTGAATTTGATTTGGTGGAGGATGAAATAAAAGCAATTGATCAAAGGATTGATATGGCACAAAATAAACTTAATTGGAATTCTCAAGGTAAGTATTGTGAAGTAAAACTGTGGACTTAGTTAATTTTCTAGTCAATAAATAAAATTTTGTCGTTAGATTTATGGAGCTATCTTGAAGAACTACATAAATTAGTAGGAAACTTATATCAGCGTATGTCAAAAATACAAGATAATCTCAAAGAAATGAAAACGGCTATGAAAGGATGGGCTACGCAACCGTTGTTTGAAAGAAAGGAAGAGAAAAAGGTGAATTTATACTTTACTTACTGTAGCGCAAATAAATACATGACACGTAATTTGTTTATTGTTTTTGTTAAATATATGAAAATCATGTTTTAATTTTAATAGGATACGCTTTTAAATTTAGACGATCGTAAAGAAAGAATTCATAAACGCTATAAAGATATTAAAACGACAGCTGATCAAATTGAAACATTAATTAATGAAAACATGGTACTTTTTAACATGCAAGATAACCAACGGAGCGAGATTTGGTTAGCGTATGTTTCCTTTATTGACTCCTTGTTTGAAGAATCATTGTTAAAATCAATTGCTTGCAGGTGAGTATTCTTTGTGCTTATCTTTTTCTCAGAACGTATACTTTTGAATAGTAAGTACGACGAAGTCATTAATTTATTAACTATTTTAGTCTGGGTTATATATCTGAACATATGAATCCAAACAACAAGCTCTCACCTTTATTTGAAGCACAGTTGGAGCTGTTAGAACCAGACATGGTTTTTGCCCCAAGTTTAAATCCGGATGATGAGAAAGGTTTTATGGCTTTGATAAATGACCTTATAAATGATATTTTGAAAATGGCTTCCCTAGTTAAAAGGATAGATCCAAAGAAAGTGGAGAATTATGAAGAGGACATAGTGGGAAATGTTGACATCATTGATATGAAAGACAGTATACTAAATAGAATAGAGCGGGTAATTTGGAATATTTTTCTAAAACCAAAAGATTTTAGATTCTATCTGATTTTTACTCTTACATCAAATTTTTAGGTTATAGAAGAGGCTAACGATTTTTGTAAAACTTTTGAAAACTACTCGTATTTATGGCTTGAAGAAAGAGACGCGGTTATGGAAATATTTTTAACATATGGACGTATATTGACACCAGATGAAATCGATAGAATTGGTTCTGAAGACAAAGATGTTCAAGTGCCTGTTCCGTGTCCTCCTAAAATGGAAGCTTTCAGAGAGCAAATCGACCATTATGAAAATCTTTTTTTGGACATTGAGGATATGGAATCTTACAAAGTATTTAATTCATGGTTTCAGGTATTCTAATAACCTGAAGTGAATGTTAGAAATTAATATATATAGACATTATTCTAAGATACACATATTATTAAATATTTTTACAGGTGGATATAAGGCCATTCAGGAAAGCTTTATTAAACACTGTGAGAAAATGGGGCAATATGTATAAAGAGCACTTAGTGAACAATGTTATTTCTAGTCTTAGTGATCTTGGAAATTTTATAAGACAGGCAGATGAAGGTAATAAAAACAAAATATTGTAATTTTAAAAATATACAATTCAAATTATTTTATATATATTTAATAAAACAATTCTTAAAGGTTTACTACAACCCGTACCAGAAGGTAATTATGAAGCGTTAGTTACAGTAATGGGATATTTGATGCATGTTAAGGATAGAACAATGACAACAGATGAAATGTTCCAACCTTTAACTGAAACAATAGAATTGCTTAAATTTTATGATATGGATATACCCGAAGAAGTCAACGTTCTTTTACAAGTAAGAACTTCATTTTATTTCTACAGTAAGCTTATATAATCAATATTTAAGTTTATATTATATATTTTACTAGGGTGTAGGACTTTCTTTTTGACGGTCTTCTACCGTCCGGGACTACTCCCTTACCTATTTCTGTCCCCAAATAGCAGTGCTCGCATTGCTATATTTTGGTCTGAAGGAAGGGTATAGATAGCTAGTATAATTACTAGCTGCGAGGCATTCCTTCTTAGTTCTAAGAGGTTCAGGCTAAAGGTTTCAGGTGTTGTAGCACTGCGGTAGCCACTTACCATCAGATGGATTGTAAGTATGTTTGTCAGTTCGATTTTAGAAAAAAAATGCTTTAAGCATTATCGGTCTTATTACAAGATTTGTTTAAACTACTAATGAACTAATAATTTAAGAAAATTTTGTGGATTAATGACATTTTAAATTTAAAACTATAAGATGACCAACGAAGATCGAACTCAGGTGCTTGCATGATATAACCTGCTGGGTTTCTTGCTAGTTCTTCCCAAGACATAGGTACTTTCCAAACAAGTAGTAAATCAAACTTAAGAATAACTTACAATAAACATTCTTGATAATCTATATTGAATAAAAAAGGTTCTATTTCTATTTCAACCCTCGTAATAATGTCGTACGTATTTTGCTATATGTTTTTGATTTATTTCAGGAACTACCTGAACAATGGCAGGCTACTAAGAAATTAGCTCTAACTGTGAAACAACAAGTAGCACCACTACAAGCTGCTGAAGTAGCATGTATCAGAAAAAAGATAACCATGTTTGATGTACACATCACTTATTATCGAGAAGTTTTTAAAAGATATGATGTAAATATTACAATTTATATTTTAGGGCTTCATCAATATGTAATTTAAAATTGTAATTGTATGGCATATATTTGTTTATAGTTTTTCAAATATGAGTGTGATGATCCCTACGCTGTGATGTCGAGAGTTGATAATGAAGTTTTTCATTTAGAAGATGAGATGAAGAATATTCAAGAGTCAGGATCTTTGTTTGAAGTCAACGTTCCTGAATTTAAGCTTTTAAAACAATGTCGAAAAGAATTGCGTATGTTAAAGGTAATTAATTATAATATAGTTATTATAATTTGGTTACCGTGTTACGACTAGTATGTTTATTGAAATAATAATACGCCATTGCTTATTTTCTTAATTAGCAACTTTGGGACTACGTACACATAGTGCGTACAAGTATCGAAGATTGGAAAACTACACCGTGGCGAAAAATAGACGTCGAAAATATGGACATAGAATGCAAAAAGTTTGCTAAAGAAATAAGATTGTTAGATAAAGAAATGAGGGGGTAAGTAACTCTTAATTATAAATTTTATTCGACTTTGTCTTCTTATATTTGCTATTTTTTTCAGTTGGGACACTTATATTAATTTAGAAGCTACAGTGAAAAATATGCTAACGTCTCTACGTGCAGTAGCAGAGCTTCAAAATCCTGCTATCAGAGAAAGGCATTGGGATCAACTTATGAGGACTACGAAGGTATAAAATTTTATATGACATGGATAAAAATTGTAAATATTATTATTATAAAAATAAATTTTACAATTTCATGTAAATAAATCACACAGGAGTGCATTTGAATGGTATATTTAATAACTATTATATTGAAGCATGTTTTGCATCAATATTAATATTTTATTTTACATCAAGTATGCATGTGATTCTAGTGTTTTTATATTTTAAATGTATAAAGTGATATGAAATGATGTTGTTTAATGCTTATTTAATTTACACTGTTCATATCTTATCTAAAAGGAATGTTTTTATGAAATATTGTTTGAGAATGTAAATACATTTAAATTTCACAGAGCTTAGCTGCATTACCGCCTGAACTTATTGTAAGTATAATATTGACGAATTGTATTTAATTAAACTTCTACCAATTTGATGAGATTTGTACATAGCGTGTCAAGATTATTATGGATTTTTATTTTAGTGCTTGTTGCAATATATTCTTGCATGTTAATTTTTAATATATCTGTATAAAATTTTACTCAAAATATGTAAATAACACGAAAAGTATAAAATTACAATTTGATTCTATCAAAATAAGGTTATCGCTTAAACTGTAATGATTATAATTATAAAATTTGCTCGATTTAGGTCAGAATTGTTATGGATGAAAATACTACGCTAGCAGATTTGCTTGCCTTAAATTTGCATGAATGTGAAGAGGAGGTTAAAAATATAGTTGATAAAGCTGTGAAAGAAATGTCAATGGAGAAAATATTAAAAGATCTTAATGCGACTTGGAGCGGAATGGAATTCGAGCAAGAAGTACATACACGAACTGGTTGTATTTTGTTAAGAGCCAGTGAAGAATTGATTGAAACTCTAGAAGAGAACCAGGTCCGTCCCGTCCCTCCTTCCAATTTGTTTTTACTTAATTGTTTCGAAATATCTTGTTTAATATGCAACACTTTTATCAGGTTCAACTTCAAAATCTCATTACTTCAAAATTTATTGCTCATTTTCTGGAAGAGGTATCGAGTTGGCAACAAAAGCTATCAATAGCTGATCAAGTAATAACGGTATGGTTTGAAGTACAAAGGACTTGGTCGCATTTAGAAAGTATTTTTATGAGCTCTGAAGATATTAGAAAACAATTACCAGAAGATTCAGCCAGATTTGATAGAATAGATGCAGAGTTTAAGGTTAGAACAATTAAATTTATATCATTTAACAATTTATTTTTATTAATTATATAATCGTTGATGCGTCTGTTTGTGATCGGGTAACTTCAGAACGATTTGACGAATTGATGTAATATTTACAAAAGCCATATATACTGTTTTGTCAAGACAAAAATGTATTGTGTAAAAGAAATAAGAAGAAATTCATTGTTAAGCCATGAATCCGATAGCTGACGCTTTGGTCACGTTGTTAACATGCACCAATGTGAATAATTTTCACAAAATATGTTGTTTAAGTGCTAAAAAGAATATCATGAAATCGGGATTCGATAGGTAACGCTGTGGTAAAGTTACAAATAAACACTATATTTACACTGTAAGAAGTCCGGAGTGAATTCAACGTGAAAGTTATCACGCCACCTACCGAAAAGGCCAGAACAACACCTAGCGGGTCAGCTATTAACACATAAATATATGATTTTATAAGGGCATGAGAAACAAACTACCTCGCAATCCACCTAAATTAATTAAAAGCTACTGTAACACCTCATCCCATAAAAATGCATTGTCGCTTTTAGGAATAAGGGAGTTTTTCTTATTGCTTTTGTTTCCAATTCTTGTCATCTACCCTACGAAAATAGACAGTTGAATTACCTTGAAATTATGTATCTACTAACCGATCTCTTATTTTCAATAGCCCTTTATTTCATTTTTTACAGAGTTTATCAAAAGACATGTCTAAAACGCCCAATGTTGTAAAAGGGACTAATAAAGAAGGTTTAGTTGAGAAGCTTGATGGCTTACAAAAAGATCTAATAATCTGCGAAAAAGCGTTAGCTGAATATTTGGAGACAAAGAGATTAGCGTTTCCAAGATTTTATTTTGTTTCATCTGCCGATTTGTTGGACATTTTATCAAACGGTAATCAAGCTGAATTAGTGATCAGGTACCGAAACACATTTTTATGAAATAAGTTCGATATGTTTTTTAAAAAAAATTGTGTTATATTATATAATTGTATTATTTTAGACATTTAACTAAGCTTTTTGATTCCATTGCAAAACTTAAATTTATCGAAAATGATAAGCCTGCAGAAAAAGTAGCTGCGGGGATGATTGCTAAAGACGGTGAATATGTAAAGTTTCATGGAAGTTGCGACTGTACAGGACCCGTAAGTATAGACAATTTTTTGAAGATTAGTACTTACTCTGTTCAATCAATATTTAATTAATTCGATTACAGGTTGAGATTTGGTTAAATCGACTTCAAGCCATTATGAGGTCGACCATTCGTCAATATTTTGGAGAAGCAATTGTTTCATATGAGGAAAAACCTCGAGAGCAATGGCTCTTTGATTACATGGCACAAGTATCATTATGTGGTTCACAAATCTGGTGGACTACAGAAGTGAATATGGCTTTTTCGAGACTGGAAGAAGGATACGATAATGCTCTCAAAGATTATTACAAAAAACAATTGGCTCAACTGAGTACCCTTATCACTTTACTTATAGGCGAATTAAGCAAGCAGGATCGTCAGAAAATTATGACAATTTGCACGATAGATGTTCATTCAAGAGATGTAGTAAGTAAACTTATTCAAGGAAAGATAGAAGCAGGCTCAGCGTTTCAATGGCAATCTCAACTAAGACACAGGTTTATGAACACTTCGTAAAATGTCACTATCTTTACTTCTCATTCACTATTATTTATATCACCCATGTGAAATAAGCACATTATTTTTACTCTTCACTACACTATTAATATTTTTTAAATGTGTATTTTCATTTTTTTAGATGGGACGAAAAAGAATCTCATTGTTTCGCAAATATTTGTGACGCTCAGTTTAGATATAGTTATGAATATTTAGGAAATACTCCTAGATTAGTCATAACGCCACTGACCGATCGATGTTACATAACTTTAACCCAGGTAAATTTCCTCTTACTACTTTAAACCCTTCATTTTTATTTTACCTTTAAACGCATATAAAATTAAATTTTTGTTATTTTTTCTTAGTCACTACATTTAATTATGGGTGGAGGTCCCGCGGGACCAGCTGGTACAGGGAAAACAGAAACAACTAAAGACTTAGGTAGAGCTCTTGGCATTATGGTATATGTCTTTAATTGTTCAGAACAGATGGACTATCAGGTAATCGATTTATTTTTATTGCAATTCGTAACCTAAATGTCTTATACATGCATTTTGCTTTTAACTTTATTTTCAGTCTTGTGGTAATATTTATAAAGGTTTAGCACAAACTGGTGCTTGGGGGTGTTTTGACGAATTTAATAGAATTTCCGTAGAGGTGCTATCAGTAGTCGCTGTTCAAGTTAAATCTGTTCAAGATGCTATAAGGTATGAAAAATTCATTAATACATTTCAATTATATTTCCATGAAAAATAAATTTTATGATTTAAAAGATATAAATATGTAATAACTATTATTTTTAGAGATAAGAAGAAAACTTTCAATTTCATGGGAGAAATGATAGTATTAGTCCCTACTGTCGGTATTTTTATTACCATGAATCCTGGCTACGCAGGTAGGACAGAATTACCAGAAAATCTGAAAGCTTTGTTTAGACCATGCGCGATGGTTGTACCTGATTTCGAACTTATTTGTGAAATCATGTTAGTGGCGGAAGGTTTTCAAGATGCTAAAATCCTCGCTAGGAAGTTTATTACCCTTTATACTTTATGCAAAGAATTACTTTCTAAGCAAGATCATTATGATTGGGGATTGCGAGCTATCAAGTCTGTACTAGTAGTGGCTGGTTCCTTAAAGGTAGGTAAAGTAATAAGATTTTAAACTGAATTATACATATTATTTTCGTTGAGTACATAGTTTCGATTTATATATTTAGAGAGGTGACCCTGGAAGACCAGAAGAAGAAGTTTTAATGAGGACGCTTCGTGATTTCAATATCCCCAAAATAGTAACAGATGATATGCCCGTTTTTATGGGTTTAATTGGAGATTTATTTCCTGCTCTTGAAGTACCAAGAAAGCGTGACTTAGAGTTCGAAAGAACCGTGAAACAAGCAGCAATGGATTTGATGTTACAACCTGAAGATAATTTTATACTCAAAGTTGTACAATTAGAAGAGTTATTAGAAGTTCGTCATTCTGTTTTTATTGTTGGTAACGCTGGTACTGGAAAAACTCAAGTTTGGAAAACTCTCTTTAAAACCTATCAAAACTTAAAAAAGAAACCTATCTACAACGATCTAAATCCAAAAGCTGTTAGTAACGATGACTTATTTGGTATTATAAATCCGGCAACGAGAGAATGGAAAGATGGCTTATTCTCAGTAATTATGAGAGACCAAGCAAATCTCGCAGGAGAAAATCCCAAATGGATTGTTTTAGATGGAGATATAGATCCCATGTGGATTGAATCATTAAATACTGTGATGGATGATAACAAAATTTTAACGTTAGCGAGTAATGAAAGAATTGCATTGACTCCGAGCATGAGACTTATGTTTGAAATTTCGAATCTCCGAACAGCTACTCCAGCTACAGTTTCAAGAGCTGGAATTTTATACATTAATCCACAAGATCTAGGCTGGAATCCGTAAGTTTCTATTTATATATGTGACAAGCTGTGTTTTCACTTTATTAAAATTAATTATTGTTATTGACCTTTAATACATTTTGATAAAATAACCTCGTTAAATAATCCTAAGAGTTCTGTTTACATTTTCTCCTAAAATCGTTTATTCTCAACCTCTGCTTGAGAATAGAAACTTAATTTATATATTTCCTACGCGAAAACCTAACGGAATGAAAGTCTAAACAACGGGAGAGGAGCAGAGAAAGAAAAATATTTAATTTATAGGTTTCCAATAATTATTTTTAAGTTCTTATAAGAATTATAACGTTATTAATATATTTTTAGATATGTGACTAGTTGGATCGAAACGAGAAAAATTCCAGCCGAAAAGTCGAATTTAGTCATACTCTTTGATAAATATATCCCAGCTTGTTTAGAAACTGTGAGAAATCGGTTCAAGAAAATAACGCCAATTGCTGATATGGCGCATGTTCAAATGCTGTGCCATTTACTTAACTGTTTGCTAGTACCAGAAAACACACCAGCGGACTGTCCGAAAGAATGGCACGATATTTATTTTGTGTTTGCGTGTGTGTGGGCATTTGGTTCTGCTATGTTTCAAGATACTAATGTGGATTATAGAATCGGTAAGCTTGCATAATCACGTTTTCGCATTATTGTTATATAGGATCCATAAATATTAATTATAATAAAAAACTCTCTTTAAGAATTTACCAAATGGTGGGTTAACGAGTTTAAAACTATCAAATTTCCGCAAGGAGGCACCGTGTTCGATTATTATATTGACACTGAAACAAAACAGTTTACACCGTGGACAGAGAAGATCACGAAATTTGAATTGGACTCGGATATACCATTACAGGTACAAGTAAAATTAATACTAAACTTTAATATTAAACATTATTTTGTAAAAATATATTTTATTAAAATAATGATTTGTATTTTAAGGCTGTACTTGTGCCTACAGCAGAAACTATAAGAATAAGATATTTCTTGGACTTACTAATGAAAAATAAGCACCCAGTTATGTTGGTTGGGGGTGCTGGCTGCGGTAAAACAGTTTTGGTCAGCGAAAAGTTGCAGAGGTATTTAAAATAAAACTTTATTAAAATGAGTAGGCCATAGACCAAAAAATCAGTCGCGAAGCGAGCGAGTGTTTTGTGGAGCGTGTAGCGTGGCGTCATATCAAATACATATTGTTGTATTGCAATATCTTGAGTGGTGACCGCTTTCAGACTTCGCCTCTATGCCTACGCCCTGCCTTACGCCCTCCATTCAGGCCTTAAACTAAGGCGCACAGTAGGGAGCGCTTAGTGACGCTGGGTGTTAGATGTTCATCACAAACACATGTTCTTGTATTACAGTGTTTTGAGTAGAGGCCTTCAAAATGTATACCAAAAGCGCGGCTACCGAACGCTCTTTACTGAGGACTTAGGAGTATGCCTAAGTTCTCAGTGACTAACTTCTATAAAATTAGCCAATGCGTAAAACTCATTGCCGTGTTGTACCGCACCACCAACACAAGCATCGTGTAGCTTCTCCCTTAGTCTGAATAGGCTTATCCTTATCCTCGTATATCCTTATCTATACATATAAATAAAATTGAAATGTCTGAATGTGGTATCGAAATAATTGGCTTATATTGACTTAAGGTGGTAATTTGCATGTCATTAGGATATGAATAACCATTATTTAAATTTTTCTCTGCCTGTCTGTCTTTCTGTCAGGGCTAAACTTCGGAATGGCTAAACCGATTGTTATACAGGTTGTTTGGAAGATGTGTGCAAAGCCTGAAGGGGATGATACCTTAAACCATTTAGAACATATTAAGCTAAACTTGTCTTAGACGCTGTCCGCTCCTTTTTTAAATTGAATTTCTAGTGTTTTCAACAATAAAACCCATTTTTTTTTTCAATTAATTGCTGCTAATATTTTTTATTAACAGTTGTTATGTTATAATTTTTTATTTATGTGATTACTCAAAAAAAGTAATTTCCAAGCATCTTCATCATCTAAAAAACATTACACGCATTTTTGACTTTATGAAACCAAAGAAAATAAATAAAATGTTATATTTCAAAATAAAAATATAGCCTTTGTTGTTTAAACCTTTTTAATACATGCTTAGCCCTTTATTTTGAGGTATTATTTACGCATATCATGTCTCATCAACTATTGGAATTAGGATGTACAAAGCAAATTGCGGACGAATATTTTATTTTTATGCGGACCAATAAAACTACATTTTTTCTTAAAATAATTTATTTTTCGTGTTTAAAATGTTGACCGCGATTTCTGATACAAGCGCGGGCTTGTCTTCTCACTTCTGTGGTCGTAATTTTCATTTTCATCTCCTGCTTCATAACTTGAAAAGCCGTATGGATTCTTCTTATTAACTCTTCTCTAGTTGATATTTCCACATGCGAGCTCCTTGGCGCGACCCCAAACGAAATATCCACAGGAGTTAAATCAGACGATCGAGGTGGCCAAGTGATGGACCCGTCTCTGCCGATCCATTTCTCTGGGAAACAATTATTTAAATGTGTATATTTTATAAAAAAAAAACCTGGGGACATTTTTGAAAATACGTAAGTGAACTGAACATAAATATTTTTAATTATCTAAAATCTTAATAACGCCACATTAATGGATAGGCGAAACCAGGGCGCGTCGTTAGTATTAAATAATTTAATATCTTTTACAGTGTTCATCGTTTATTTTTTGCAGCCTGCCAGAATCATATGCTGTGCAATCTGTTCCATTCAATTTCTATACTTCGTCGGAAATGTTACAAAAGGTTTTAGAAAAACCTTTAGAAAAAAAAGCTGGTCGAAATTATGGCCCTCCCGGGAACAAGACTCTCATATACTTTATAGATGATATGAATATGCCCGAAGTCGATGCTTATGGGACCGTCCAACCGCATACAATCATAAGACAACATCTAGATTACAATCATTGGTACGACCGAACTAAGCTAACCCTTAAGGATATTCACAATACTCAATACGTGTCATGTATGAACCCGACATCTGGTAGTTTCACAATAAACCCAAGGCTCCAAAGACACTTCTGTGTATTTGCTATCAGTTTTCCAAATACTGAAGCCTTGAATAACATTTATCATTCTATACTAAGTCAACACTTGATGAATCCTGAGTTGAGAATAAATGCACAAGTTGCAAAGTTATCTAGTAAGTATTACCGCGATCTTAATATTTTTATTTATTTACTTACGAGTATAAAACTTCAAAAAAATATTGTAACAAGACAATAAAGCTTCAAGTAATAAAAAGCAACATTCTTAATTTATTTTCAGTTAGTAAATTTAAATATAGAATTTAGGTTTTGTCCTATTTTGATAAAATAATAATATACGCAAATTGTAAGAACATGCGGCTAACGATAACATTATTTTTACAATCCTCTTTAAACTAGTACTCCCTACTCGATTGTATTTTTTATTTATGAAATTGAAGTGACAAATGAACTTCCGGTCTACCCGACGGTAAGTGGCTGCTGCAGTCCATGGACACCTGTAACCAACTTTAAGCAAAGATCTCACAGCCTGTAATTTTACTGGATCTCTATACTCTTTAGACCTGAACACAGAGTACGAGGTAAACACAGTAAAAGGGTGGTACCTGCCCAAATGGACACCTAGGCAGATAAGAAGTCCTACTATCTAATATATAGATTAATGTGTATGAGTGTAATTTACAAAAATAATTTTAATTTTTTTTTCTTACTTTCAGCAAATATTGTTACAGCATCTATAGTTTTGCATAATAAGGTGTCACAAATATTTTTACCGACTGCCATCAAGTTTCACTACATTTTTAATTTACGAGATTTATCGAACATCTTCCAGGTATTTAAATTAAATATATGTTTCTAATATTGATATTTTGTTGCTTTAGTTTGCCGTAGAGGCAACCGAGGCAAATGAAACAGGAGATCAGCAGCATCTTCCCGATAATAACCCGAAAATAATAAAAAAGTGCGATTGCCAATCTGGCTGCCAAGCGTGACATTTATAGTAATACCTTCCCTATAAAACAATCTATGGACGATGTTCAACATTGGGTTTTTGATAGGCTGTATCAAATGAATGAATGAATCAATGTCGATAGTAATGAAAATACAAGTAAATAACACATAAATAATATATTTTTTTAGGGATTCTTATTTAGTACCAATGAATGTCTAGTTAATCCTTCTGATTTAATTCGATTATGGATGCACGAAACACATAGAGTCTATGGTGATAAACTTACTGAAGATAAAGACATCGATGCATTTTTAAAAATGCAGGTTGATATATGCAAGAAAAATTTTGAGGTATGTGTGTAATATTTTTTATACGTCAAAGTTATATTAAGATCTATTTTACACCTATTACGTCAATAGAGACTCGTTTTATTACACTTATATTCTTAATAATAAAAAGATGTCTAATTAGATAAATTAAACTTTGATCGAAAAGTCTAACAAAGGTATTTACAACTCTGGTGGTCAATATTTGCGACAATACGAGTATAATTCATCTTTTCGTTAGGTGTATCTCATAAACTCAGAACTCTCAAACACAGGTGTATAACATGTGCAGTTCACTAATAGATGTAATACGGAATCAAAATAATTAACGGTCGTGGGTATGAAGCGATCTTAGGGTCGGAGCACCCCAGTGCTAGCTCCTTCCACTTGACCACATCCAGTGCAGAGCGGTTCGAATCGTCACGACCGAGTTCTTACTGATCGTCTCAATACACTGGCACTGCGTAGGGATGTTGCATCCCTTTGCATTTTCTATCGAATTTACTACGTAGAGTGCTCTGAGGAATTGTTCGGATTAATTCCAGCCGCCAAATTTCACGAACGCACATCGCATCAAAATTCACGATACCATCCTCACCATCCGGATGCTTGGCGGTCCACGACTGTAGGTTTTACTGGGAGTTTTCTTCCTCGTACAACTTCTCTGTGGTATTGTTTACCACCGGCGATTTTTCTGGACCGATACGACTTAGGGACCTTCAAGAAAAGAGCTTACACCTTTTCTAAAAGGCCGGCAACGCATCTGCAATTCCCCTGGTGTTGCGGTTGTTCATGGGCGGCGGTAGTCACTTACCATCAGGTGAGCCGCATGCTCGTTTGCCCCCTCTCCTATAAAAAAATAAAATAAAAACAGCGAGTCATAGAGAGGATTTTTACATTGGATCTTTAATACGCAATATAATTCCTAAGGTGTGTCAAATTGCTAAAGTAGTAGTTCTTTAGACTAAGGTGTACGGGACACAAATTAACTTAGTGATTACTTGAAAATACTACTACTACTAATATAGTATAATTATAATTAAGTAGTAGTAAATTATATTATATTAATATAATTTCCATCTACGAATACATGTTGAATCTGCTTGTATTCAATTTTGAGGATGATTATACAGTAGCGATGTCACGGCGGTCCTATTGATCGTTAACTAAACGTAAAATGTTTCACTTAATAAATTTTCTTTTGAACAAACCTTTTAAGTTTCATAACTTTTACACGTGGTAGAGTCATGCTGCAGCTTATTAGTAGTATAGTTGTAGCACGAATGGGTCGGCTCGACCGGGGAAGGACCACGCTCTCACAGAATACCAGCGTAAAATAGCAGTTTAACACTGCTGTGTTTCGTATGGTGAGTGTAGAGAACCGGATACCCTTTTTACTGGAAATGAGGCATTCCGTCTTAGTCCTCACGGGTGACAACGCATCTGCATATTGATTCGCAAACGAGGATAGATGTAGATGTCTATGGGCCACAGCAACCACTTACCATCAGGGTGACGTTTGTCACCTTATCCTATAAAAAATATGTAGATTTTTTTTAAAAAATATCATTGATTTATTCTTACTTAAATCTCAAGCAAGTAGTAACGGTTTTAAAATATTTCTTTCATAAGGATATCGACGAGGGTGTAGTTTTTGAACGTCCTAATATCTACTGTCATTTTGCTGGTGGGATTGGTGAGCCCAAATATATGCCTATTACGTCTTGGGATCAACTCAACAAACTTTTGACAGAAGCCATGGCCAGTTACAACGATCTCATAGCTGCTATGAATTTAGTGCTATTTGAAGATGCAATGATGCATATTTGCAGGTAACACTAAAATAATAACTATTAACTATTTAGGTTTTTGAAGACTTCCATTTCTATTAATACAAATGAAAAGAGTAAGTCTTAGGTAAGTTATATTCTATTGCACAAGGCCGTATAGCTGTTCAACGTAGCTTGTTTATTGATAACCTAAATCAATTGAGATTGTTTAGGTTACATAGGATATTAAGTATATTGACAGTAAATTTATATCTTACATAATATAAAATCATAATGAAATTTTAATCAGTACTTTAGGTTTTCACGTGGTCCCTGCGGACTCTCCGTCCGCACACCGGCCCGTGGTGCTGCTCGACGAGGTGGGCAAGCTCTTTGAAAGAGTCATTGCAAACCGCCTCGCCGAGCACCTTGCGGGGACGGGGACGGGGCCGGATCTTGCGGAACACCAGTTTGGTTTCCGCAAGAGGCGCTCTACGGTGGACGCCATCATGCGCGTGAGAGCCCTCACGACGGGGGATGCAGTGGCCAGGGGGGGGGGGGTTGTTTTGGCGGTGTCTCTCGACATCGCCAACGTCTTCAACTCCATGCCCTGGAGCTGCATTAGGGAGGCACTCCGGTATCACCGGGTGCCGACCTATCTCCGTCGTATAGTCGGGGACTATCTGACGGATAGGGCCGTCATCTACTCCGGTCGCAACGGTGTGTGGAACCGGCGAGAGATGTCGTGCGGTGTCCCACAAGGTTCGGTTCTGGGGCCGCCCCTGTGGAACATCGGTTACGACTGGGTGCTGCGCGCCGACCTCTCTACCGGCGTCAGCGTAGTTTGCTACGCTGACGACACGCTGGTACTGGCACAGGGGGGGGGTCGTACGAGGCGGCGGCGGAAACTATGACACGCGGGGTTGCGATAGTCGTTGAGAGGATCCGGCAGCTGGGTCTTGAGGTGGCTCTGCACAAGTCCGAGGCCATGCACTTCCATGGTCCTCGGAACAGGCCACCACCGGGATCCTCAGCGATGGTAGGAGGGGTATCCATCGGCGTCGAGTCGACGTTGAAGTACCTAGGACTCGTCCTCGACGGCCGATGGAACTTCGTTGAGCACTTCCTACGTTTGGCTCCCAAACTGGAACGGACCGGGGCTGCCTTCAGGCGGCTCCTGCCGAACCTGGGGGGGCCAAACGCCTCCTGCCGGAGGCTCTACGCGGGGATTGTGCGGTCCATGGCCCTTTACGGCACCCCGGTGTGGGCGCGTGGTTTGGCGCGGCTTGCCGTCCACCACCTGAACGCGCCCCAAAAGGTGGTTGCCGTGAGAATGGTTCGCGGCTACCGCACGATCTCCCGCGAGGCAGCGTGCCTCCTTGCCGGATTGCCGCCATGGGATCTGGAGGCGATAGTCCTCGCGCGCCTGCACGAATGGCGCGCGGAGGCACTATGCCGGGGGGAAACCCCGCTGCCGCGGCAAGTTGTCGTGCAGCGGACAGACTTCCGGCATGATCTCATGGCGACATGGAGAGAGCGACTGTCGCAACCCCGTGCTGGGCACGCCACTATAGCGGCGATAAGACCCCTCTTTGAGGAGTGGCTTGAGAGACGCCACGGCGTCCTCACCTTCCGCCTGACGCAGGTCCTCACCGGACACGGTGTGTTCGGGAGGTTCCTGCACCGAATCGGGCGGGAGGAAACGCCCGGGTGCTCCCACTGCGAGGATCTACAGGAGGACACGGTGGAGCACACCGTGGAGGTGTGCCCTGCCTGGGCGGAGCACCGCCGTGTCCTCGTAGCGGCGATAGGCGGCGGCAACCTCTCGCGTCCGGCCCTGGTCGAAGCCATGGTCCGGAGCGAGACGGAATGGGATGCCGTCACCACCTTCTGCGAAGCAGTGATGCTAGAGAAGGAGGTGGCGGAGCGGGAGAAGGAGAGAGCAGTAGCTTTCCTTCCCGGCCGCCGCGGGAGACGCCCCGGGCGTCGGGGGCTACGTCGTGGCCCCCGGCCACCGTAGGCGCGGGCCTGTGGACGGCGAGCAATGGGTAGCTCGCCGTCCGTCCGTCTAACGACGACAGGCCGTGTCGACGGCGCGTTTTGTTCCACGCGCGCCTCATAGAGCTGTCAGCAGCGTGAAGGGGCCCGCAAGGGCCGACGCCTGCCGGGGCTGCGGGCTGTTCGAAAGAGATACCGCGGCTCCGGAACGTAAGGCCACTGAAGGAACACGGATGGTTTTTAGTCAGTAAAAGTCTGACACTCCCTTCCGCTCCACCCAGAGCGAAAGGCGTCATTTGATGATTTTCCATCCGCAAAAAAAAAAGGTTTTCACGTGGTAGAGCCATGCTGCAGCTATATTATGGTTGTAGCACGAATGGGTCGGCTCGATCGGGGAAGGACCATGCTCTCACAGAATACCAGCGTAAAATAGCAGCTTAACGCTGCTGGTTTTCGTATGGTGAGTGTAGAGAACCGGAGACCCTTTTTACTGGAAACGAGGCATTCCATCTTAGTCCTCACGGGTGACAACGCATCTGCATTTTGATTCTTAATCGAAGATGATGTAGATGTCTATGGGCCACAGCAACCACTTACCATCAGGTGGACTGTGTGCTCGTTTGTCACCCTTATCCTATAAAAAAAAAGGTTATAAACTGGAGTTAAGTGTATTATAACTAGAATCTTCTAATCGATTTCTGAGTAATTTTGCTAATTAAAACTTTACTGCTTTGATTCCTATTTTTGTCAGAGGGTAAAAAACAGGAAAGTGTTCATCACACTTCTGCAGTATATATGGTTTAACTTCTCATGTCACTTTCAAAAGTTCAGGTTTCCTTAAGAAATTTTCTTTTCATATTTTAATTAACGATTACATGTTGTCTGTGGCGATATAACTCGATTTGCCTGCTTGAAATGTAAATTAAGACAAATCTTCGTTCCCAGAGCTTTCATAGCAATAAATCCTATCGCATTTCAGAATAAGTCGAATTCTCGAAAGTCCACGGGGAAGTGCATTGCTAGTTGGTGTTGGAGGATCTGGTAAACAGTCACTATCACGGCTTGCTGCCTTTATATCCAGCTTAGAAGTGCTGCAAATACAACTGAAGAAAGGATATGGGGTTTCAGACCTTAAGGTATTTTGAGAGACTTTCAAATGGTTAATGTCCTTACATAGTGGAATCTCCATAACTCGAACCTTATTAAGTCGTAATACTCAGTAAGATGAAAAAAAAATCCCATTCCCTTGCACTGAATCTCTAAATACGCGATATCTCGAATTATTTAGAATTTGTAACTCCAACAAAATGTTATTTCCCTGTAAAGTATTGATAGTACATATTTATACCCTATAACTCAAATTTCAAAAAGCAGTCTCCGTAATTCGAAGTTAGTATAATATAATGACGTTTCACTTGGCATTCCCCCCGCACTCATTAACAATAAAATCCTTGATTAGTAATAATTAACACATAAGTTAAACTTTTTAGGTAACACATCTTATGTTTGTTTAAGTTTGGGAAAAAAATTCTTGTTATGTCGGAAAATCAGTAACTTAGCATATCCCTTGAAATTTGAGTTATCGAGATTCCACTGTATTATTTATATGATTATTACTTATTTTATATTACCAACTTATATTACTAATTAAATTCATTTTTATCTCAACTTTTGATTTCACCAGATAATAAGACATGTCAATAATAAAGCGGTACATAGGCGGTTTCCCGTACATTGCCCGGTATTTGCTATGGTTGCCACGTTTCGCTGGCGGGTTGGCAACCACAGATTTTTAATTTTAGTTGTTATTACGACGACGCTACTGCCCATATCCTGGTTTGTTCACTCCATCGCCTCTTACGATATCTACGGAGCGATATGGGGTAGTAGATATTCTTACACCGGCTCCACACGGTACACGGTCTGGGCACATGCCTCCTTCCATTTGTGATAGGGATACAGCGCAATTAGTTCGCTGCACTGCTTAAGTGTGTGTTGGTGGACTTCACAGGTCACAATTTTCCTTGCAATGTTTGCCCTCACCGCTGGGCATGTGGTAAAATCAGTATTTAAAATTGCAATTTAACAATTTTATTGCTTGCGGAAATTGGACCTGAATTGCTCGTAGGTATGGATTCATTATTTTTAAATGTTCAAAATCAGCATTGAAATGTGTTACCAATTTTTAGATTTGCAGTCGCAAATGTTTATTTTTGCATTTTAAAATTTTATTCTAGATCGTTTATCATTAAATCTAAAACATGATTACTTTCAGCATGAACTGTCAGGTTTATATATCAAAACGGGTCTGAAAAATGTTGGTATTATGTTTCTAATGACTGATGCCCAGGTGGCCAACGAACAGTTTCTGGTGTTGATTAATGATTTATTGGCATCGGGTGAAGTAGCTGATCTTTTCCCTGATGACGAAATAGAAAACATTATTGGTGGTGTTAGAAATGAGGTAACTTTATCTTAATTTTCTTAGGAAACTAACGACAATAATAAAATTAGAAGTAATTCAATCAGTTTGTGTTACCAGTGAAGAAATATGTATCTGAGACATGGTATAACATTGCTGGCCGTATGAGGATGCTTAAGATCGCTTAGCAAGCTATGGAGAGGGTTATGCTCGGTATTACTATATTATATATATATAGAAAATTACTACATATATTCTCGATTAAGAATCAGAATGAATGCATGTATACTGTGAGAGTAATAGAAACCGACTTAGCGTAACGGATGAGTAAGCGAAATTGGCAATTTTGTCCAAACATTGTAAAAATCCATATTGTTCAGTTTAATTTCTTTCGAAAACTTAATGTGCTCTTTATAGAATTCTACTAATTAAAATGATATAGACAAAATTTATGTTTTTGTTCAGGTAAAAGGTGCAGGCTTACCTGATACCCGAGAGATATGCTGGAAGTTTTTCATTGATAGAGTTCGGAAACAATTAAAAGTTGTGTTGTGTTTTTCACCTGTTGGTTCAACGTTGAGAGTTAGATCTAGAAAATTTCCAGCTTTGATCAATTGTACTTCAATAAATTGGTTCCATGAATGGCCTCAAGAGGCTTTAGTATCAGTATCCGTGAAATTCTTAGAAGGACTTCACGTTTTACCGGTAGGCAATCGTAAATTATTTGTAAATCGAACGAAAACAACTTACTATTTAGTTAATACAAAACATGTTTTAGATAACATTACGAGATTCTGTATCAAGATTTATGGCATATGTTCATACTTCAGTGAATTCAATATCTAAAGCGTACTTAGCCAATGAAAGAAGATATAATTATACCACACCAAAAAGCTATTTGGAACAAATAAGTTTATATGCAAAACTTGTTAATCAAAAAACTGATGAACTTCAAGCCAAGATTTCCAGGTATATACATATTATATTATAATGGATAATTTATTCACAGCATTTTTGAGTTTATATGTATTTTAGGTTAGAGAATGGTTTGGAAAAGTTGCGCAGCACGGCGTGTCAAGTAGACGAGTTAAAAGCAAAATTGGCAGTACAAGAAATAGAATTACAACAAAAGAATGAGGCTGCTGACAAACTTATAGAGATGGTGGGAATTGAGACTGCTAAAGTTCAAAGTGAAAAAGCCCTAGGTATTCTATTATATTTATAATTTTATTTATTTTAACATATGTACTCCCTTACTTTAATTTTGTGACCTTGAAGTATTTATAATTTTAAATACTCACATTACATGATATTTTTATGTTTAGCTGACGAGGAGGAAGAAAAAGTAGCGGTTATAGCGGAAGAAGTCTCAAAGAAGCAAAAAGATTGTGAAGAAGATTTAATAAAAGCAGAACCTGCGCTTGTAGCTGCACAAGAAGCATTAAATACTTTAAATAAGGCCAATCTTACAGAGCTTAAATCGTTTGGCTCACCACCTGGTGCTGTTACAAATGTCACTGCTGCTGTTATGGTATTACTCGCTCCTGGTGGTAAAATACCCAAAGATAGAAGTTGGAAAGCTGCTAAGGTAAAATATAGTAAAGGACAGCGTTTAGTTATGGTCTGAGAGCCCATGACGCATTTTTCATGAAGTTTTCATAAAACTTTGTTGAAAAGTATCAGTCCACTCAATAAGCAGATATTTGACTGTTTGCTTGGCCTACTTCGGTGCACCTGTACGGTGCACACTTCGAAAAAAAATTCTTCCAAAAAAAGCGTTTGATTAAAATAATAATAATTACTTACCGTCAACTAAGTTGATAAACAATTACGATAAAAAATTGCAGACACTTCTGAAGGAGTTGACATAGGGGCAAACTACCCCAAAGTTGTAGTTGCAAAAATTCCAAAAAAGTATTTGATTTAACTGATTCGTTGCGGCACCGATTTTCGACAACTTTTAGCTGTGACGGCGAACAAATATTGCATGACACGCCTGGCGTGTTATGCGCCACAGAAGTTGATGACACGCCTATTGTGCCATCAGCCATGTGTAAAAATAATTTTCTTTTTTATGCTTTTTTCACTTGTTTAGACCTAATTAAGTTTAGTTAGTGGATATTCTTGACCGCCGTGTAGTGGCGGTCAAGAATATCCACTACCCCATATCCTCCCGTGGGTGTCGTAAAAGGCGACAAAGGGAAACAGGCAGGAGATGGGCAGCAGCATCTTCCTGATAATAGCCAAAATTACAATAAAAAAACTGCGGTTGCCAACCCGCTCGCCAAGCGTGGCAACTATGGCAAATATCCCCCCTATGAGTGTAACAAAGAGACGGCCCCCAGTCCCCGGCGGCCCCGCTATTCCTGGCTACGGTGGCGACCATGGTAACGGCGGGGCAGGGGGTGCTAAGAATCTCCGGTGGAGGTTCGGTTGCCACCTTAGACGACTCGACCTGGCAACGTACAACGCACGCACCCTGAGGACTGACGAGAAGATCGTGGAGCTGGAAGAAGAGATAGACAAGTTGCGCTGGCATATTATAGGATTATCCGAAGTCCGAAGAGAGGGGGAGGACACGGTAATCCTCGAATCCGGCAACTTGCTCTATCACCGGGAGGGCGACCATCTGTCCCAAAGAGGTGTCGGATTTATCGTCCACAAGTCTCTCGTTAACAACGTTGTAAAGATCGGAAGTGTGTCGACGAGGGTTGCGTACCTTATACTCAGAATCACCAAACGGTATTCGCTGAAGGTCATACAGGTTTACGCACCAACCTCGGCACACCCCGATGAGGAGGTGGAGGAAATGTATGAGGATATCTCTAGAGCCATGCATTCCTCCAAAACCCAATATACGGTGTTAATGGGAGACTTCAATGCAAAACTAGGCACAAGAGAGAACGGTGAGCTGAAAGTAGGGAAATTTGGAATAGGGCAACGGAACCCAAGGGGCCAGCAGCTGGCCGACTTCATGGAGAAAGAGGGACTCTTTATGATGAACTCTTTCTTCCAGAAGCGGCCCCACAGGAAGTGGACCTGGTCGAGCCCCGACGGTTCGACAAAAAATGAGATTGACTTCATTATGACGACCAGACGACAACTGTTCAGTGATGTCTCCGTGATCGCGAGGGTGAAAACTGGTAGCGATCACCGAATGGTTAGAGGCACACTGAACCTAAACGTTAAGTTGGAGAGGTCTCGTCTAATGAAGTCAACGCTCCGTCCCCCTCGTGCTCTGTTCCAAAGTCCCGAAACCTTTCGGCTCGAGTTACAAAACCGTTTTCAGTGCCTAGAAGACTGCAATGAAGTGGACGATATGAATGACAAGCTCGTGGAAACTGTCCATGCGGTCGGAGCTAAGTTCTGCAAGACCCGCCGCAGAAGAACACAAAAACTCTCCGATCACACTCTTAATCTCATGGCTGCTAGACGGGAGATGAAGCTACATTCTTCAACAGACTTGACAGCATACAGGCATCTGAACAGACAGATCTCCAAATGCATGCGGCGGGACTTACGCAACTTCAATACAGCTCGTATTGAAGAAGCGATCGAGCGGAACCAAGGCTCCAAAGTCTTTGCCAGAGATCTGTCTGCCAGAAAGAGCCACCTGTCAAAGCTGAAGACAGAGTGTGGCAGCATCGTTTCCGGGACACCTGAGATTTTGAGTGAGATTGAGAGGTTCTATGGGCAGCTGTACACGTCATCGTTGGAGCCACACGCAAGTGTGAGTAACGATCCAAGAGCGAGTCTCATCCGACACTATTCCGAAGATATCCCGGACATCAGTCTGAGCGAGATTAGAATGGCTCTCCAGCACCTTAAAAACGGTAAGGCCCCAGGCGAGGATGGAATTACAGCGGAGCTTCTGAAAGCGGGTGGAAGACCGGTACTTGAAGTCCTTCAGAAGCTCTTTAATTCCGTCCTCCATGGTGGCATTACACCGGAGACGTGGAGCAGAAGTGCGGTGGTCTTGTTCTTCAAGAAAGGTGACAACGCTCTCTTGAAGAACTACAGACCGATTTCCCTTCTGAGCCGCGTCTACGTGCTGTTTTCGAGAGTCATTACGAATCGTCTCGCGCGCAGACTTGACGACTTCCAGCCTCCCGAACAAGCCGGTTTCCGAAAGGGCTTTAGCACCATAGACCACATACATACCCTTCGGCAAATTGTACAGAAGTCCGAAGAGTACAATTTGCCACTATGTCTAGCGTATGTGGACTATGAGAAAGCCTTTGATTCCGTCGAAATTTGGGCGGTGCTGCAGTCCCTTCAGCGGTGCCAAGTTGACTGTCGGTATATCGAAGTGTTGAAGTGCTTGTATAGTAGGGCTACGATGGCTATCCGAGTACAGAACCAGAGTACGACACCTATCCAATTGCAGAGAGGTGTAAGACAGGGTGACGTCATATCCCCGAAACTCTTCACCGCTGCATTGGAAGACGTTTTCAAGCTTCTGGACTGGAAAGGATACGGTATCAACATCAATGGCGAGTACATCACTCACCTTCGATTTGCCGACGATATAGTCCTTATGGCAGAATCGCTGGAGGACCTAAGCACTATGCTCAATGACCTCGATAGTGTTTCCCAACGGATAGGTCTTAAGATGAACATGGACAAAACAAAGATTATGTTTAATGTCCTTGTCACACCTATGCCGGTAGTTGTTGGGAGCACTAAGCTCGAAGTTGTTGACGAGTATGTTTACCTGGGACAAATAGTCCGACTAGGTAAGTCCAACTTCGACCGAGAGGTCAATCGACGGATTCAACTCGGCTGGGCAGCGTTCGGGAAGCTACGACACATCTTCTCGTCAGACATACCTCAAAACCTGAAAACGAAATTGTACAACCAGTGCGTGTTGCCAGTGATGACTTATGGAACTGAGACGTGGTCCTTCACTGCTGGCCGTATGAGGAAGCTCAAGGTCGCTCAGCGAGCTATGGAGAGGGCTATGCTCGGAGTTTCTCTGCGTGATAAACTTAGGAATGAGTTTATCCGCAGTAGAACCAGAGTAACCGACATAGCCCAACGGATTAGTAAGCTGAAGTGGCAGTGGGCCGGCCATATAGCTCGAAGAACCGACAACCGATGGGGAAGAAAGGTTCTCGAGTGGCAGCCTCGTACCGGTAGGCGGAGTGTAGGGCGTCCCCCCACGAGATGGAGTGACGACCTGGTAAGACATGCAGGAAGTCGATGGATGCAGGTGGCTCAGGACCGTGCTTTGTGGCATTCTTTGGGGGAGGCCTATGTTCAGCAGTGGACTTGTGAAGGGCTGTAATGATGAAATGATGATGATGAAGTTTAGTTGACATCAAACTTCAGTTACAAATGGAAGGATACTTGTTTTTAGTGGGTAACTACGTGTTTCCTTTGAAATTGACTTTTTTATGCAGAGATTACAAACCTTTTGTAATATTTTTTGTTTTAAAAAAAAAATAATTTATATAAGTAGGTACAGGTAAATCACCCTGGAAAACCTTGCTTTTTATTAAATTAAATTTACATCTAATAATAACATTTGTAAATATCAAACAACCAAGTACCTTAATATGGAAAAAATAAGGTTTATGATTCATTGATATTTACAAATGTTAAATATTATTTAATGTTATACAAATGTAAAAGTAAAGTCGATCTGAAAACGTCTAATTAGTAAGAATAGCAAAACAAGTGTTTTCAAAAGAAAAAAAACGCCGGCGCTATACGGTGGCGGAGTGACAAAAGACTATTTATTAGCGAACTTTTTTTATGCATGAACGGTTTCGAACTGTTTCAAGCAAAAATAAACCTTATACCATATCACAAGAGTACATGGTAGTTCGTAGGTACATTTGGCCATATGATAGTAATAAGACGGCAGTTTAACCATTTTAAGCAAAATTAAACAATAAGACAAACGCATTGTTTTCTTTTAACAGGAGACTTGTTTTCCAGAAATTTATTTACAACTTGAGTTTGTGAGCGATCACAATGAGTGCTATTATTTGTTACTTATTAGACAATTTTTCCACAACATGATTTAAAACCCACAAAGTAAAAAGAGTAACATGTACAAGTTAAAAAAAAGGTTGTCAACCCCTAAAAATTTTAAATTTTCAAAATATCCAGAAACGAAACTGTAGGCAGGAACTACTTGCAAAATAATGAATATTTTGTTCTAGGTAAATCTTCCAAAAACGCTATTTGAGCGAGTTATGACGATTTTAAAAAAAGACACGACTCGCGTGTCATCCACACTGGACCGGTTAATCTGCCATTTTTACAGCGTGTTTATTATATATCATAAAAAAATCTCACAAAAGGGCAGACAGTTTCTCCGGGGGTTAATAATTTAAAAATATTTGAATAAGTCAAGGAAAATTACTCCCTTTTTACCATTTGCTGTATATTTCTCCAATAAAACAAGGATTTAATTCTACTATACATGCATTTTATACCTGGGTGACCAGCTACGGTAGTTTTTTAGTTTTCTTTTAAAATGTTTGGAATCTCGGCTGGAGAAGGGTATTGTATTGTATTCGATTCTTGTATATGTGAACCTTAATATTTACTTTGTAAATGGTTCCGAAATGTCAGATATTGCGATTTCAGTATCATAGTTATCTTTAGAAATAATTAGGTCCCTAAACTTACGTAATAAATTATAAATTGTCTTATATCATAATGATGAACTTTAGTGTGAAGAAGTCCCTAGAACTGGTTGATTTATTAAATTAGAATATTTCACAATAGAAATCGTAGAACCAGTATCGATAAGAAAACATACAAGCTTTTCATAAAAATTAGTCTTTAACATAACGTGAGGCAGGGAAATATTATTATTAATATTATTTATTGTATAAGTTTTCTCACGTGTGCCAACCCTAGAGAGGGACGTAAATGTTTCACAACTTGTGACGTCACTTTGATAACCATACATTTTTTATTATAAGAAGTTTTAGAAATAGAGATATTATTTTTAAGCTTTTGTGTCTCTGATTTTTTATTACCCTGTGTTAAAATAACTTAGGAACCCAGAAATCGACTTTGAAGTGGAGCATATTAATTGTGACGAAGGTGCATTAAAATTATAAACCTGTGCAACCGGGAATTGACCACAGGTAAAGTAAAGTTCCAGCCTACTTACGTCCCACTGCTGGGCACAGGCCTCCTCTCATTTATGAGAGGGTTTTAGGGCAAGGAAATGTCCGCCACGCTGCCCCAATGCGTGTTGGCGAACTTCACATGTATCCGAAATATTTTTCTTATTTCTCAGACATGCAGGTTTCCTCACGACCACAGGTGCGACCCTGAAATTCCATTGAAGACTCATTGAACGTAGTATTTAAAACATGGTCATCAATATTTTTTGTCATCCGTGTTTTATAACATAATTTAGGAACACGGGATTTAGAAAGTTCAATAGTTTTCGTATCATTTAAATTAATAGTACGTTTCGGCAGACACGGCACCGGAACCCTGCTTAGTTTAAAATCATCATTATTATTTTCAGAGGCGCAAACAACGTACAAACAACGTATATTAGAGCGAATATTGTCCGGCACAATACTAGTGCTCGCTACTTGTGTACTTGATAGTGCAGTGTTACGTTGATCGAGGCGCATATTATCGTTTTTGAACTTTTTCGACACTCGCTTATTAAATGAGATTTGTTTTTGCAATATGCACACATTTTATTAGGATTAAAATTAGAATGAGGTTTATTATAATAATTATTTGGATTATTTGAATTTTTATGAAGATATGAATTAAAATTAGAGTTAAGATGATGGAGGTTAGAATAGGAAACCTTTGATTTAGTTTTTATAACACTCGGAAAAAGTATGTCCGAGTTTGTGACAAATTGAGCACGATTTGGATGAGCGCTGCGATAATTTACTTAATTTAAATAATTTTTCTTCCTCGATTAAATAAACATGCTGTATAAATGGCAGATTAAATCAAACACTTTTTTTGGAATTTTTCAAAATACAACTTTGGGGTAGTTTGCCCCTATGTCAGCCCCTTCAGAAGTGTCTGCCATTTTTTTCTTAATTCTTTATCAACTCAGCTGACGGATAGTCATTATTATAATTTGAATCAAACACTTCTTTTTGGGCGATTTTTTTACGACTTACCTGTATACACAGTACCAGGTGTACCCAGGTTGGCCAGGCAAACAGTCATGTACCTGCTTATTAAATGAACTGATACTTTTCAACAAAGTTTCATGATGCATCAAGTACTTCATGAAAATTGCATCATCGGACCATTACTACTTATGACGTTTGTGACATTTTAATATTTGTTCGTTTTCTTATTTGTTTAATATTTCAGATGATGATGGCTAAAGTAGATGTATTTTTGGAATCTCTTGTTCATTATGACAAAGAAAATATACATCCAGATGTCATAAAAGCCATTCAGCCATATTTAAAAGATTCGGAATTCGAACCGGGTAAATTATTATTATTTGTTATTTAATTATTGAAATCATTATTTAGATAAATAAAAACATGTTTTTTCCTCCTTCTAGAGTTTGTGAGATCTAAATCAGCTGCAGCTGCTGGACTTTGTGCTTGGGTCATTAACATCATTAAATTTTACGAAGTATTTTGTGATGTAGAACCTAAACGAAAAGCTTTAGCAGCAGCTAATGCTGAGTTAGCGGCTGCTACTGAAAAATTAAAATCAATTAAGTCTAAAGTCGCGGTCAGTATATTCATACATTTTTTGAAATTAACATGACTAAATTATTTATTAATGAACATTTTTCCCTATGTTTACTAACTATTTTTGACATCGTGACATTATTACCTTCAGTCGTTAGAAGAGCAGTTGGCTACTCTAACAGCAGACTTCGAAAAAGCAACATTAGAAAAACTTAAGTGTCAACAGGAGGCAGATGCTACTAACAGAACTATTCAGCTTGCAAATCGATTAGTAAATGGTCTTGCAAGTGAAAATGTGCGTTGGGCAGAATCGGTTTCAAAGTTTGTATTTTACTATAAATAATTATATTAATATGAATTGTATCTAATTACATTTGCAATTTTAAAATGTTTGAAACCATTTATATTTTCAGCTACATGCAACAGAGTACAACGTTACCGGGTGATGTACTTCTTGTATGTGCTTTTATATCCTATGTTGGATGTTTTACGAAGCAATACAGGCTTGACTTATTACATAAAAATTGGCTTGTTTTCCTAAAGACATTAGAGGTAATATGAACGAAACAGTTATAAATTAATTATATTTTAAACTTTGGACATCAATTAAGTCAAGAATTAATGCAAATTGAGATGTATGCAGCAAATTAATTGTTAGGTTATTAAATGATTACATTATACAAACCAACTGTCCGTTGTCTCGCAAAAAATAGAAAATAGCGTTACCAATTTTGATGAAATTTTTTGTGTGTTTGAGTGGGTCGCTGGATAATCTAAACGATTCACAATTTGACCCGGTAGGTGACGCTGTTGTCGAGATCCAGAAATCAATCGTGTGAAGCCGGGGCAGATCGCTATTATAAAATATTATGAAGATATTACAAAAATCATAACTTTTGATATTGAAATGTATTATAATTTTATTTCAATCATCCCATTTATTAGCAGATAAAACCATTTGCAGGGAGAATTTACTGTAATCAACTCGCACCTTTAATGCCGTTTCCAATTGACGCTCTGAAATTTTACATCTAAATAAGAATAAATAAAAGATGCTACAAGATCTATTACGAATTTCGTAAGTCACCTCTTATGACACCTGGGTTAAGATGTGGAGGTGAAGTGTCTTATGTTGATGCTTCACAGCAGCATAAGTGAATCCATCATTTTAAAATAATATATTACATATACAATATTAAGAAAATGAATGTGATAATAAGATAAGTTACTTTTAATTTTAAGCCACCAATTCCAATAACCGAGGAATTAGATCCTTTGTCAATGTTGACTGATGATACTACTATAGCGATGTGGCAAAACGAGGGCTTGCCTTCGGATAGGATGAGCACTGAAAACGCTACAATACTTTCTAACTCGGACCGTTGGCCTCTTATGATCGATCCCCAGGTATATATAATGTATCTAAAAATTAAGTTAATGTTATGATAAAGCGTATTAATTCTGAAAATTTTATTTAGCTTCAAGGGGTTAAGTGGATTAAACAAAAGTATGGCGACAAGTTGCGTGTAATACGTCTTGGACAAAAAGGTTACCTTGATACTATTGAAAAGGCTATAATAAAAGGAGAAACTGTTTTATTAGAAAATATAGGCGAAACAGTGGATCCGGTATTAGATCCATTGCTCGGCAGAAACTTAATTAAAAAGGGAAGGTATGGGTATAGTTTTATTTGAAATTTCTTATACTAAACAAATGCTTTATTTCATCGCAAAACATAATTGCCAATGTGTATACACTTTTTGTACATACAATTTTTCTAACGTTATATTATTTGAGATTAATTTACTTTGTGTTATTGTATAATTCGAATTTTCGTAACTTTATATTATTTCAGATTATTGTACTTTGTGTTATTGTATCATTCATTCCTATTTTTAATCATTACAGAGCGATAAAAATAGGGGACAAAGAAGTTGAATATAGTCCGAACTTTAGACTCATACTCCATACGAAATTGGCAAATCCACATTATAAGCCAGAAATGCAAGCCCAAACTACCTTGGTTAATTTTACTGTAACCAGAGATGGCTTAGAAGATCAGCTATTAGCTGAAGTAGTGAAAGCGGAAAGACCTGACCTTGAAGAATTGAAAGCAGAGTTAACAAAACAACAGAACGAGTTTAAAATTCAATTAAAAGAGCTTGAAGATGATTTATTATCCAGATTGTCATCAGCTGGTGAAAATATTTTGGGTGATACAGCTTTAGTGGAAAATTTAGAAACTACAAAAAAGACAGCGGCAGATATTGAAAAGAAAGTTCGTAATAACTATTACTTTTGATTTATTCATTTGTTTACTTCTTCAAACCTGTAAAAGTCCGCTGCTGAATATGATCATCCCGTTGTAAAAAAGATTTGCTTTAATCGTTACACTAAACTGGTGGATTAACGATGGCAGAACAAGATGTTTTGCATCTTTGACGACGTTGCTTCATGTCACCGGTTTGAGTATTTTGCGACTGTTTAATAACACATCGAATTAACTAGCATTTTCTAGTCAGTATTCCATAGTCAATAGTCAAAAGCAGACAAAATAGGGTTATTGATTTTGTTGTGCCGCCAGCATACGACATTTGTAAAAAATACAATATAAAAATGTATACATATTTTGAGACAAAATAATAACAATGTCGTTCTTACAATTTCTAGGTTACAGAAGCTAAAGTCACATCGTATCAAATTGATCAAGCGCGGGAATTCTATCGACCTGCATCAGCAAGAGCTTCCTTACTTTATTTCATACTAAATGATTTAAATACGATTAATCCAATTTACCAGTTTTCATTAAAGGTATGCTTTTACTGCCATTGATAGTAAATGTGATAAAATATTGATTGAATTTTCCGCTTTACATCCATCGTTTAACTTATAGGCTTTTAGTGTTGTATTTCAAAAAGCCATTTCTCGAGCGGAACCAGCTGATGAAGTGAGCCAACGGGTAAAGAATCTCATCGATTGTATAAGCTATTCGGTTTTTCAATATACATCCAGAGGTCTCTTTGAGTGTGACAAATTAATTTTCGCATCCCAGATGACTTTCCAGGTAACTGAAATTTCTGTTATGTTCATTCCACCATTAAATTTATACAAGATGGTTTCTTTGTTTAATATAAACGTCTTTTATTATTGTATGAAGGTACTCTTAATGAGTGAAGAAATTACACCGGCGGAATTGGACTTTTTTCTGCGATTCCCAATCAAGCCCCACGTAACGAGTCCAGTTGACTTTTTGTCTAATACAAGTTGGGGTGGAATATGTTCACTTGCTAGTAAAGATGAGTTTCGAAATCTTGACAGAGATATAGAGACATCACCAAAACGATGGAAGAAAATAGTGGAAATGGAATGTCCTGAAAGAGAAAAGTTTCCACAGGTAGTTAAAATATTTTAAGCACTAACCTCCATACATTCTGTCAGTCCAACGTATTGGACTGGTTATAACCCTACAAACGTTTGTGCCTCTTTGAAGCGCCGCTATTAAGTGTACTGGGAACTAAATTTGACATAATTTGCAAATGGCCGTTGCTCAAAATGTCAATGAGAAAAGAATGTGTGTTGTATAGTTCGGTTATGTTCCATGATAGTAATATAATACAAAGTATTTTAGTAACGATTTTAATTTTCTGACGTATAAAGCTAGTGTCCAAGACATTAGTATTAATTGATACATTTATTTATTGTATGGCATCATATTAAAATGATACATAAATAAAATAGTAGGCCTGGGTACAGAATTTTTTTCGATATATTTTGGTACACCGTCCTATCTCTAATATTAGTTTCGTGAACGTTCACATTTGCTATCAGCGTCAAAAGGGCGAAAATCAAATCGCCTCATTATGTCAGGGTGTATAGCCAATCTAGCGTACTTTTATAATAGAGGTCAGTGATTTTACATTATGATGTTTTAAAATAGCTTACCTATTACCTAAAAGATGTGAAAATAATGATAATCTAAGGATTTTTTAGTGTTTTAAATATTTACTCACGTATAAGGCCAGTAGTGACAACAAAAAGAAAAAAAGCATTGATGACCAGCAGCGTCTTCCTAATAACAATTAATAATAAAAAACTGCGGTTGCTAAACCGGCTGTCGAGCATTGCAACTATGGTAAATCCCCCCTATGACGCAATCTATTGTGGAGGCCTATGTTCTGCGATAGACTTTTGATAGGCTGTAACCATGTAGCCCGTGGTAGCTTAGTTCTTAAGCGATTACCGTCAATATTATACGAGCAACACGAGTTCAATCCCCACCGGTGCTATGGAATTCAAGAATGAAGAAACATTTAAAAAATTGTAGGTATAGTCGGCCAATTTTGACTAGAGTAGCGTGCGACACGCGTGGTTAGCAGTAGTATTATGATTTATTTGCTTTAATTTTTTGCATTTACCTAATAACATTTGGGTGATTATAGGAATGGAAGAACAAAACAGCTTTACAGCGATTGTGTATGCTTAGAGCATTGCGACCTGACAGAATGACTTATGCTGTGGCGTGAGTAACAAGACCTCTTTTGTTTTTTAAGTACTACATTTGATTTGTGTATTTTATTCGTATGTATGCAATAATCAAATAAAATTTTAGAGCGTACATAGAAGAAAGAATGGGTTCAAAATACGTAGAAAATAGGACAGTAGAATTCAGTAAATCATTCGAAGAAACCAGTCCAACCACACCAATATTCTTTATTCTGTCTCCTGGCGTGAACCCCCTCAAGGACGTCGAAGCTTTAGGAAAAGTAATGGGATTCTCAAGTGATATAGGAAATTTTCACAATGTCTCTTTGGGCCAGGGCCAAGAAATAGTAGCGGAACAAGCAATGGATGAGGCGATACAGAAGGGGCACTGGGTTGTTTTGCAGGTATTTAGTTTCCAAATTATGAATTTTATCTTAAATACTATTGGGGGTTATTAGATAATTATGAAAATTATGTTTTTGTCAATATAAAATTATAATTTATACAAAAGGTATATTTTTTGTATAAGTTACTTAACATAAGTTAAGTATTGATGAAGGTTCCATTCTTATTAATTTGTAATACTTCAATATTTAAGCCTGTATCACTTGTGCTTCATACGATCATAACTTATATATATAATATATTATAAGGGCCCTTGTAGTACGATATGTAGGTTTGAAACCGTTACCTCGATCCACGGTGACCGCGAGCGCTTGAATTGATCGATTTTTTTTAAATTTAAGATATAAATTCGAGAACGTGTTCTCAACAAAATTTAAAAAATAATAAGCAATTTAAAATTAATTTGGTAGGTATAAGTTTTACTCCGGTTCTCGAGGAATCTCTGCAAGGTAAATGTTTAAATAGCCATTTAGTGATCTTCATGTTTTTCAACTCAATTGTTATGATTTGCGTTTCTGTTTTTACACAACCATGGTCCAAATGTTCAATTTTAATATTTGTTTTTGCACAATAATTACATATAAGTAGATTTACAGAGGTTTAAAAAAGTCAAAAAGCACTGCGATGACACGTTAAGCCGAAACATGAGTTTCCAAAACATTAAAAAACAAGCAAAATATGATACCGTTAGGTCATTAAACCTTCGTGAATTAAATGCAGAGAGCTTCCTTCAAAGATTCTCTGTTAATTCTTTTCAGTAAAATCATTGCTGTCTTTTAAAGTACTTTGTTCAATAAAAGTAACTAATATTTTTTGGAAAAAGCACGTGCAAACTCATAGATTAAATTTATATTAAATTTTGATATAACTATAAAATACTTGAACTTTCAGAATATTCATTTAGTAAAAAAATGGTTACCAAGTCTTGAGAAGAAAATGGAGAGTTTCGCTTCAGGTTGTCACAACGACTTTCGACTGTTTATGTCGGCTGAACCAGCAGCAACACCAACTGCTCATATCATACCGCAGGGTATACTGGAGTCTAGCATAAAAATCACTAATGAACCACCGACGGGAATGCAGGTAGCCGTAAAATAAAGAAATATGCTTTTAAATATATGTTTTTAATAGAAACTCGTCATCTGTTTAATACCTATTTTACATATTACTTTTTAGGCTAACATTCATAAAGCTCTAGATAATTTCAACCAAGAAACTCTAGAGATGTGTGGTAAGGAAGCGGAATTTAAAGCGATCCTCTTTGCCTTATGTTACTTTCACGCTGTAGTAGCTGAGAGGAGGAAATTTGGACCTCAGGGTTGGAACAAAATATATCCGTTCAATGTTGGTAAGTCTGTTTTAACTGATATGAAAATAAATACTGCGTCTAAAATACGAGATATTTGTGTTGCAGTTCACAAATCCACAATACACATGTTTAGTGTAACGATAATAGTTAAAACTAACCTGAGAATGGCAGTCTATGTATAGTATAACAGAAATTACATTAATAAATAGTTGTAACGGCAGACGTAGTTCTGCTCTTTCCGGTAGGCGGGAATTCACTCCGAACTTTTAACAGCGTAAATATAACATTTATTAATAACTCAACCATGGTGTCACATTATCCAGGTTCCAGATTTTGTGATTTCAGTTTTTTGAACTAAGCCAACAATATTGTGAATATGTGTCATTTTGGTCCATATATATATGGACCAAAATATATCAATGTATATATTATATGTAATTCTTCTGACCGTGTGTATTTTGAACTTTGATTGAACTTTTCCTAAATGGCTGGGCTGATTTTGATGAAATTTTTTTGTGACTGATAAAGTTGATTCGAGAATGGCTTAGATTCACAATTGGAGCCGGTAGGTGGTGCTGTTGTCGAAATCCATAAATCATCTATGCTAAGCCCGGGCGGATCGCTAGCGATCGCCAACTATCGGATACTAGCATAACCATCGTCTTGACAAAACAAATCTATTATATATACTGTGTAAATATGATCTTAATCGATCAAGTCGTTTAAAAAATACACGATCACCGGCAGACGCACCGACTATTTAAAAAGATGAACATGCAACGGTACTCCACACAGTGTGCAAAATGCCACGTGCTAAGAAGCTTATTGGTGATCTCAATGTGCCAATCTTACTATTTTCGAGCACAGGCGCAAAGTAGCCTGTCTTTCAGTGTTCTATAGGACCACCGTCGGACAACCAGATGCTCACCCAGCCTCCACCCCTATTCCACCGTCAGACAACCAGATGCTCACCAAGCCTCCACCCCTTTGTTACCACGCACTTAAACCAAATGGTTTGCTTCGTCGATTTTTATGCGTACAGCAGGGGAATGGTATAATTTGCCAGAATCGTTACAATATCCTCAAAGCGAGAGTGAATAATAATGTCTTTCAAACAGAACTTCAGTCACGGTGGCCAGATTATCGTGTATGAGTGTGTGCATAGCCATCTGCGCAGGACAAGGTTATAATGCACGAGTATGTGCGCAAGCATAGCTCTCTATTCCCTCACTATCCGATACTATCCGATGGGACAGCAACACGGCCGGAGAGAAGCCGAAGAAAGCAAGTAAAGCCGTTGGCGATACGTTTGTACGTATCGCCAACGTTGTTTGGCTTTACTTGCTTTCCAAGACACAGGGGTGAAACACTGCCAACTTCTTTTCTTCGGGTTGTAACTTCGAATTTCTTGATAGAAAAACCCAATAAATGATTTTAGTTCGATGCGGGATTTGAATACGGGACCTCATGATAAGCAGTCGCGGTAACGGCCATTAGACTAATGGAAACTGTAAATATTCCTCAGCACTACTTCCTATCAGGGGGAAGAGTAGTCAGGCACTGGCTTATGGTAGTAAAAGAAAGATTATCATAACCTTAAATAATTTATTTCAGGCGACCTTACTATTAGTGTCTTTGTTTTATATAATTATTTGGAAGCTAATTCTAAAGTTCCTTGGGAGGATTTACGATATCTTTTCGGTGAAATAATGTATGGAGGACACATTACAGACGACTGGGATCGACGTCTGTGTAATGCATATTTAGAAGAATTAATGCAACCAGATCTTGTAAGTCATAGGCTCCTTTTTTTAAAGTTGTTAATATTGTCACATATTTTATTATTGCTTTAATGTTTTATTAATATCAATAACTTGCGTATTTATGTGATTAGGTTGACGGAGAATTGCAACTAGCGCCAGGGTTTCCTGCGCCACCCAATACAGATTACTCTGGTTATCATCAATATATAGAAGACGCTATGCCCCCGGAATCACCGTATCTCTACGGCCTGCACCCTAATGCTGAAATAGGTTTTCTGACAACTACTTCGGAAAATTTATTTAGAACTATATTCGAGATGCAACCGAGAGACGCTCAAGCTTCTGGCGCAACAACGATTACTAGAGAAGATAAGGTAAAAAATATTATGACGTTCTCTCTAACTAATATTACATCTTATCCTTTATTTAATACTTTTCGTCAATGTCATAAACAATTGCTTACGTTTAAAAATAAAAGTCAGACTTTTTACCTTAAACTAAGAACCTATAATTTTTTGATAAAATGAATAAAGTGACGATGTTGTTGTTGTATTGTTGTATTGTTTTATTATTTAAGGCAAATAAGATAGACTTTGTAAATTTACATTTAACGTATATTTTAAAATTATCTTAAGGTAAAGCAAATGCTTGATGAGATAATGGAGAAGCTTCCAGAGGAGTTTAACATGGTAGAAATTATGGGTAAAGTGGAGGAACGCACGCCGTATGTGATCGTCGCGTTCCAGGAGTGTGAAAGAATGAACAATTTAACAGGAGAGATGAAGCGGTCACTGAAGGAATTAGACTTAGGACTAAAGGTTCGATAAATATTATTTAATGTTATCGCTTGTTTATTGAACAGAACTTACAATTAATCCGGCAGCTCTTGAGCGTTGCCATACCAGAGCGAGAGAGATGACATAGACTACACTTATATTTTATAATCATAGACTAATATATTACACTTTAAACAGTGGTAGAGCCACGCGGCAGCTTTTGCTGTCGCACGGATGGGCCGGTTCGAACCGGGGTGGTACCACGACCTCACAGAATAGTGAAGTAGAGGTTTACCTCTGCGTTTCGCTTGGTGAGTGCAGGTGTCCGGAGGCCCTTTTTACTGGAAATGAGGCATTCCATCTTAGTCCTCACGGGTGACAACGCATCTACATTTTGATTTGTAATAGAGGATAGATGTAGATGTCTATGGGCCGCAGCAACCACTTACCATCAGGTGGACTGTGTGCTCATTTGTCACCCTTATCCTATAAAAAAAACGATACAGAGGTGTTGTCATCTCTGAGAACTAAGATGAAATGGCTCACAGCCTGTGGTTGTGCTAACACTCTATACTCTTGAGACGGGAATACTGAATATACAGAAGCACTGTAAGGTACAGTGCACAGAAATAGGTAAGAGACCTAGCCAGGCGGACTCCTACTACAGAAATGGAACCATTCTATAAAAAATTGTATTTATTTAATGCACTCCACTATACGCGCTCGTTGTAAATTTCACAGTACGCAAGTAAACCGGGTTCGATACTCACTGGTACCAATGAAATTGTTACATGTAATTTTAAGTGATGATTTACCACGTGCTCGGCGGTGAAGGAAAACATCGTGAGAGAGACTGCATATCTGAGAAATAAGAAATAAAATATTTCGAAGACATGTGAAGCCACATATTCCTTGTCCTAAAATCTCTCAGAAACGAGAGGAGGCCTGTGGCCAGCAGTTGGACGTATATAGGCTGTAACTTTAACTTAACCGTCACTATAAATAATTTGACTTTTGTATCTTTTTCTTACAGGGAGAATTAACAATTACATCTGACATGGAAGACTTGGAGAACGCTTTGTTTTTGGACCAGGTAAGTTACGGAAAAATTACTTTAACATTTTAATTTTTAAAAGTGAGTTAATTCATTTTTTCTTTCAGGTACCCGCCATCTGGGCTAATAGAGCATACCCTTCCTTATTAGGCTTGTCTGCGTGGTTCGTCGATCTACTTCTTCGGCTTCGAGAATTAGAAACTTGGGCTACTGATTTCGTTGTATGTATCACATATTAGAGTATCTATAAGTTAATTTGCTATACTCTAAGTATTACATTGATTTTTTCTTTGAAAGTTTTTTTTGAAAAGTGGATTTTCACGCCCTGTAGTGGAAGCGTAGGAGAATCCACTAGCCCATATCATCCCGTGGGTGACGTAAGCGATTATATTTATTATAGAGGAAAATTAAACAGGAGATAAGCAGCTTTGTGATAACAACTGATAATAATAAAAAAACTGCAGTTGACAACCAGTCTGCCAAGTGGCAATTTTTAATTGCCTCATTGGTCTTGTGGTCGAAAACGCGGCTGCTGATTATGAGAGTCTGGGTTCGAATATCCCAGTTGGGCCAGAAAAAAAAACAGTTAATGTTTTTTTCTTTTATACAATAAGGGTGCAACCGAGCACACGATCCACCTAATGGTGAATGCTGTAGCCCATAGACATCTACATATATCATCAATTAAGTATCAAAATGCAGATGCGTTGCCATCCCTGAGGTCTGGGAGGGAGTGCCTGTTCTGTACACTCACCATACGAAATACAGCAGCATTAAGCTGCTATTTTACGCTGGTATTCTGTTAGAGCGTGGTCCTACCACGGACGAGCTGACCCATTTGTGCTGCAACCACAATATAGCTGCAACATGGCTCTACCACGTGAAAACAGGTTCTGACAAGAAATAAAATTTTACCGCCGTGCTTCGAAAAGTACGCAAAGACTATAGACCTGCGCCTGATCACTCTCCGATCGTGCCAGATTGTTACACAAGAGTACACATGTGCTTTGCGCATATTCTTGTGCACTATAATCCTATCCTGCAGAGATAATTTCCGTTGTGGCCACCGTGACCGAAATTTGGCCTGGAGGATCTATTATTATGGCAAATATCCCCGGAATTGATAATCTATCGTGGAGGTCTATGATATTCGATAGGCTATAATGGAAGAATGAACAATCTAAATACATTTAGTGGTGTAAATAACATTTGTTATATAGTTGTCATTACTTGTATTGCTGTTGTTAATGGCTGAAGACTGAATGAAGAGAAACATAAGTATTTACGTTGACCAAATCATCTCTTAAAGCTGTTAGAACTTAATTTTCTTATTTCCGCGTAATGAAATAATATGCTGGTCCTGCCCGTTAAGGTAAGCGGTCAGCATTAGGTTTCATGTAGAGGCGAAACACGTTTCGTATTATCGGGGGTAGTGGTCTTTCCTAGTGTGGTAGTGCTGGGATTGGTGGTGACGGAGATAGTGCACGCAATTGAGGGAGGGCGGGAGGTCACATCATTTTATTTCATTACGCGAAAATAAGCAAATTAAGTTCTAACAACTTTAATATAAGGGATTTCCGCAAAGTAATGCATGAACAAATAATCTCTATTTTCAAATGCAACTATTTGTGTAAACGATTTCCTTTTTCTATTTATACATTTATTACATTTATTTATTCTGTTCCTAGTTGCCGGCGTCGGTATGGTTGGCTGGTTTCTTCAATCCGCAGAGCTTGTTGACTGCAATTATGCAAAGCACAGCGCGTCGTTATGAGCTGCCATTGGATAAAATGTGCTTACAGTGTGACGTCACTAAGAAAATGAAAGAAGAATTTACGTGAGTTAATCTCTGAAAGAATAAATATACTATACTAACCAAACACTTATGGAACGTAATAACGTTTTGTCATTCTTCCCGCATTCATTCTTTCTACGTGTCCATCCATTCATCTCTTAATCGTAGTCACAACATCTTCTTGAAAATCACATTTTTCTCTTATTACTCGATTTCTCAGCCTATCATTCCAGAGTCAGCCAAAACAAACTTCTTAATAACCGCATTTCTACAGCATTAATTTTACTCTTATGTTTCTTCTGCCACATTCAACTTTCACTATCATATATGAAGGTGGGACCTAACACAGTATTGTTGTGTATTGCCAAGTACTGTCTTATGTGCCTTCATTAACATATTCCGACTTCTTCATTTTAACATTTATTTATAACTAACATTAATTATATATCATGGAAAATTTACATCAAAAAGCAGAAAAAGTAGGTACTTAGTTTTACTATTTTTTTGAGGTTCTGTAACCGGATAAAAAGTAGTCTATAAGCTGCTCCAGGTCACTGACTCCCTAAATACAAAATTTTATGATAAATCCGTTAAGCAGTTTTTCCGTGATCCGTAAATACATCGACAGACAGACACATAGATAGACAGACGGGCAAAAATTCTAAAAGCCACTAATTTGGCTTCAGTATCCCTTACTTAATTCTCTGGACATGTTTTTTCAGATAACATTAGAATTATATAGACGATATTTCTACAATTTCTTTATGTAATATGATTAATGATTGTTGTAGTTTAATTGGTTAGTTATTGTATAAGGCTTTTTAAAAAAAATTACGTATACAAAGTTTTCTTCAATCGTCAATTAATCTCAATTTCAATCAACTCAACATTTTTTCATAAGAAATCTCTTTGACTTTTTGCTTGACTGCTTGATGCATGGAATATTAACCGTTAATACCTTTCTTCCTACGACAGGATTGCTGATTCCAGGTCAGCTCAACGTGACGGTGCTTATGTCCACGGTTTGCTCATGGAGGGTGCTCGGTGGGATGTGCAAGCAGGCATTATTATGGATTCAAGGCTTAAAGACTTGTTTCCACCAATGCCTGTTATTAATGTCAGGGTTAGTATAAGATTAAATGTTATTAAAATTAGATTTTAGGGCATGTTCACACATAAAATCTCTAATGGATTAACTTTCAGCTATCTTATTGTCTCTTTCGGGTCACAGTTTTTAAATTGATCCAAGTTCGAAATTGGCAAGATAATCGATACCGTGTTACAGTAAAAAAGGTGACAATAACGCTAACATTTAAACAACATAAGGGTGGATTGAAAAGTACTCGGCCTAACCAAGAAAATAAACACATACTAAATCAGTTATATGTTTATTTTTCTACATAATCACCATCAAGTTCAATACACTTTTGCCACCTCCCCTTCCAAGCATTTAGACCGTTGAAAAAAAATGATTCTTCCTTAGAGTCAAAATATGCGTCTACAGCTGCTTTGACCTCGTCGTTTGTCGAAAATCTTTGACCTCCCAAGTGCTTTTTTAGGTTAGGGAACAGAAAGAAGTCTGATGGTGCCAGATCAGGTGAATACGGCGGATGCGGTAACAGTTCAAAGCCACAGTTGTGAATTTCAGCCATTGACTGTACTGACGTGTGAACACGGGCATTATCTTGATGGAACAGGACTTTTCTTCTGAGCATTCCTCGACGTTTTTCTTTTATTTCCTCTCGTAAACGACGTAGTAAGGTGCAGTAGTAATCAGAGTTTATATTCTGACCCCTTTCAAGATAATCAATCATAATCACACCTTTCGAGTCCCAGAATACTGAAGCCATCACCTTATTTGCCGACAAAATCGACTTAGCCTTTTTAGGGGGTGGTGAACCAGGTCTTCTCCACTGTTTTGATTGTTGTTTTGTTTCCGGTGTACAGTAATGAACCCATGTTTCGTCCATAGTAACAAAACGATTCAAAAAATCATCTGCATCGGCTTCAAATAACTCCAAACAGTCGCGTGAAATAGTCAATCGCGTCCTTTTTTGTTCAACTGAAAGCAGTCGCGGAACCCACCTCGCAGACACCTTGTGGAAACCCAACTCGTTGACAATGATGTTTTGAGTTCGTTCATAAGAGATGCCTATAATCTCGGCTATCTCCCTAATTTTTAATCTGCGGTCTCCCATTATTAAATCAAGTACTTTTTTAATATTTTCGTCAGTAGTTGACGTCGAAGGCCTTCCAGAGCGGGGTTCATCTTTCACACTCTCTCTACCACGCTTAAATTCTGCTGTCCATTTTTTGACGGATGAATATGACAGAGCACAATCGCCTAATGTACTGACCATGTCATCATGGATGGCTTTTGATGATAGCCCCTTCTTATGGAGGTACTTAATGACGGCACGCTGCTCGATTTGCTCCATTCGCGGAAATTATCTCCGATTACTTTGTTAATAAATTTATAAAATCACAACTAATTATCGCACACGTTTCGAACTTCACACAATGAACTAGTCTGAACTGAACTAAATAATGTGGGTAGATTTGATTTTTAGAATTGAATGGATCTGTGTTAGGCCGAGTACTTTTCAATCCACCCTCGTATTAAGGCAATAATTTATTCCCTAATAACCGTAAACGCGAATGATTTATGGAATAAACGTATTCATAGTCATAATAATTAGTCGTATTTACAAACATTGATTGGACGTTCATTATTTATTGATAAAATCTCCTGTACTCGTATTCTGTGTTGACCTTTCCATACTTTTCGTATTTATTAAAGTAAGCCTTATTAGTATGCATCCGAAGAGAACGGAAGAGTTTTTATTATAAAAGCAATATAAAATACGTAACACTAATTCAGCAGGTGTTTCTTCAAAGCAAGAGTGGGGTGTATTTTATTAAGCTAAGCCAGTGCGATTTACCATTTAGAGCTAGACCATTACCATGTATAGTAAGAGATAATTAGTAGAGAGGAAAGAAATTATGAGATATGAGATAAACTTAATTTCATGAAATACTTTTAACGTACAAATTTAATATATCAAATAATATGTTCGTGACCGATTATCATTATGGCAAATGCCATTGAAAGTTGTGGTACTTTGAGACATGTGTCACAGACTTGCTTTATACAGGACGTGTTACAGTCAAGTATCTGACTTAATAATGTGTGTCTTTACACAAATATTGGCAGTTGGCACGATAACTCGTTACTAGCCGTGTATCATCACACTTAATCTATACATATAAATAAAATTGCTGTTTTTTAACGACCTCACGGGTCTGCTGTCATAGTTAGCCCGGCTACCTTCAGTTTTTTAATATTAATTTTTGGTTCGATTTACGCAGAAAGAGCTTACAGTATCTTGAAGTCTAGCAGTGGTATACTTGGGTTTGGATTTGATTTTATTAATAATGGGATCCCAAGCAGATGGCAGCACCCATCCATCTTCTCTATTGAAATTAGGATGTTTTTTAATTTCAATAGCCTCGCGAATCATCCTTGGGAGGAATCGGTGTTCTTTTGCGAGGATTTGTGGTCTATCAAATCTAATGTAATGGCGGGGACGATCTTGAACATGTTCACAAACTGCAGAATATATAAAAATAAGTTAATATACGCGATAGAATCCGTAAAATTAGTTTTATTTAAAATGTGTAGTGTTCGCGTAAATATAAGAAATCATTATGACCTCACGGGTCATTAAGACATGTATAGAAATGTAAAATGTTTGTGTCTGTCCGGGCTAATTATGGGGATGGTAGAAACTTCATGAGCAGGTAAAAAGCAAAATATATTTTATCCAAAAAACTTTGTGTATTTTTTTGTGAAATCGAAAAATTGATTAAATAAACGGTCATTGACGATTATTAAAAAAATCTAAATGAAGCCATATTAAGAGATTCCACCCAGGCGATGCCGGGGCGGGTCGCTAGTTTATAATATAGTCATCTCACTAGCACTGAAATCGTCAATCCGCCTACCAAGTGTCGATCTATAAAACGGCAGAGCCCCATTTCCAGCAGCAAAGGAATTTTACGGGCTCATAATAAAGAAGGACATAAAATCAGCCTTCATATGAAATCTCAAATTACATTTTGACGAATGATTGACGGCTCAATCATTCGTCAAAATGTAATTTTAATTGAGTGGCGTAGTTCCTTAGCAATGAGTTGTTGCGCTGGGGGCCGCGGGTTCTAATCCCTTACGGAATAAGTATTTGTATTGCCTACAAATATTAATTGTTCCGGGTCTGTATCTTTGCCCTCGTGCAATCTATGTTTGTAAACTGCCTCCACGATACAGGAGAAAATCCTAGTGTGGGGGTAACGTTTATTTAAAGAAAAAAACAATTATTACAATAGATTAGGAGCTCAAATTGTATTCGGATTCGGTAGTAATTTGTCACTTACCTTAATCATTAAGACACGCGACAGTTAATCCAACTAATAACCATTACAGACTATTAAAATTCACTGCTGAACATTCATTAGAGGGATATTTGCCACAGTTGCTATGATAGGCAGGTGGGTTGACAACCGCAGTTTTTTATTTTATAATTGTTATTTGGAAGACGCTGCTGCTCATCTTCTGGTTTGTTTCCCTCCGTCGCCTCTTACGACATCCATACGAGACTATAATATGGGGTTGTGGGTATTCCTATGCCGCCACTACACGGTTTGGCATTTGTTAATATAATAACAAAATTAATGAACTCCGTTTCAGGCGATAACACAAGACAAACAAGATTTACGTAACATGTACGAGTGTCCTGTGTACAAAACACGAACCCGTGGCCCCACTTACGTGTGGACGTTCAATCTAAAGACCAAGGACAAGCCCTCAAAGTGGACTTTAGCGGGAGTTGCACTGCTGCTTCAAACCTAAATGTTTTACGTTTATTCAATGGATTGTTAAATTAAGACAAATTTATTATATAATAAAAGTTTATCTGTTTTGTTTTAATGATATATTTATTTATAATTTCAATTAAACTGTTGCAGATTAATTATTATTTATTTATTTTTACTATGATTTCATTGTTGTATGATTCTTTAGCGTGAATCATGTTTATAGTCAATTTTTGGACAAGAGCCTCTCGTAAAAGAGGGAGAACTCGACACAACCACCACGCTCTGCAGTCGGATTAGCGACCGCAGCTACTTATTTAATCTGTGCCGCAGCACTAAATGATATTGCGAGTTAGAATTGGCGTAGGAGTCATCATTAATAAATTTAAAATATATTTGAACTTAATACATATTCCGATCTGACAATTTATGGCTTTATAAGAAAATGAATTGATGACTACATTGATTAACATAAAATGACATTGATGACTGATATTATTGTGCTTATTATCGTTAAAGTATGCGAGTTATAACATCTCTAATTAACATACAATACTAAATTAATTTATTTCCACGTCTATAAATTACTAAAATATTTTTAGTAAATTTTTCAATTTTCGTAGAAGTGAGGGTGATAAAATATCACATAGTTCGCCCGATGGTAATAATAATACATCTTAATAATCTTAATTTTTATTTCCATATTTATATCAGTTAACAATATATCTATTTATATAGTACCCAAGAATTTTTTTGACATAAACCATGAAAAATAGCATACATTGCCGAACTAGACTAAAACCTGTATTTCAGCATATGATGCCACTCCCCACACAATAAACATACGTTATTTATTTATATCATGAATGCTGTGATGTTATGGTAAGTGAATGCTGTGGCTAATAGAAGTCTACTATCCTTGATTAAGAATCGAAATACGGATTTTTTGTCTCACTCTCGAGGTTTAAAATAGAATCCCTTGTAATATATGGCGCAGTAGCTGTAATACATACGCTATAGAGTGGTCCTACCAAGTAAAACGTACCTTCTCACGTATAATTAAGAGACGTTGGAGCCCAAAATCAAATTTTTAATATGTATAATATCCGTAAGGGACATAAGAGGGAATATGTAATTTTTATCGTAAAAGGCAAAACCCTACACTTGGTGCTTACCGCTGATTAATAATATAATGATTAATAAAGAAAATATAACCTAGATTCCTCCTGGGATTGCTCTCTCTGTTCGTGAAGTTTCATTGCAATCGGTTCACTCCAGACAGACAGAATTTTTTTTAAATGGTTACTCTTGTTAAAATTACTGCTTATATACGTCCCACTGCTGGGCCTGTCCCTATTTTCATTTCTGAGAGGGTTTTAGGGCAAGGTAAAATCTGCCGCGCTGTCCCAATGCGTGTTGGCGAACTACACGTCTTCCAAATTTCTCGGGCATGCAGGTTTCCTTACGATGTTTTCCTTCACCACCGAGTACGTGGTAAATCAGCACATAAAATTGCAATTAACAATTTCATCAGTATGGCGGGGATCGAACCCGGGTTCTTGTCTTAATGGCATGCAAATCAGCTCAATTAGATAGGGCAGTTATATCGGTATCACTGACAGACTCTTCAATTTTATTTATATGTATAGATGATTATTTCATCTATACCTACATCTATACATATAAATAAAATTATTTGGAAAAAGGTGAATAATTTAAAATTGTCTTAATTTCAAATGCATTTTATTTTACGAGTAAGTATTACCGTATTGTGCCTTTGTCACCAAAAGCGATTAGTTGTCTGAATTCTTCACTAGATGGAGTGACGAGTGACGACCTGTAAGAAATGCAAATAAAAAGGCCTGGCAAAACTGAAGTGTACAGGACTTTTTTTAGTGGTGTTCCCTGCTAAGGTTGTTGATGTTTAGCAGTGGACCTGTTAAGGGTTGTAAAGGTGATGATGGTGAAGCTATCAGAATGCTATCATCCAATGCTTAGTGAAGTTTTAGGGTCGTAGCCAATATATGGCTTTTGATATATTACAACTAATAGAAATAAAAATAGGAATATAGAAATTGAATGCGATTTACATTCGAAAATGGACTGTATTATTTTGCAGCGTGTCGAAACAGCAATATTTGTGCGGGGATATTAACTGTGCGCTCACTAACCCATCATAGAAATAAAACAGCAAACGTGAATAGGCTTTTGATAAACTTGACCATCCTCGGCTGTATACCACTTACAACCACGAAGTACAAAACGACTAAATTATAATTTAGTGTTCACCAAATGAGTCATAGCTCTTCAATGGTTATTTAAAATAGTATTTAAGGATCGGTTACATCAAATGTTTCGATATAACTTATTCATAGTTGACTGGCGAAGGCCTTCAATCGCAATTTTTTAAATAAGATGCTGATTCGGCAGTAAATTATAGACGATGAAATCATATTTAGCTATCTTTAATCGACCTTGCGAAGTTTGAAGTGTCATATATCTTTTTCCGAATTTTATTAACATTTTTGATATTTTTTTAATTGATTCATGACATCACACGTACCCAGGGTGTGCCATTGTAAAATTAAAAAAAAAACCGTGTGGTAATGGCGTAACCTTCCATCATGCCATTTCGACTTGTAAACATCTTAAGAGGCGACTGAATATGAGAAATTCCAAAAAGATCGTTTACGTTAGACCCGGTAGACGGTAATAGAGTTATTTAATTAATCCGTAAAATTAGTTTTATTTAAATGTGTAGTGTTCGCGTAAATATAAGAAATCATTAGGTAATAGAGTTAATTTACGCGACGTATGGAATTGCAAAAACTGTTATGTTTCTGTTCTGCGTACAGCTAATCGTCTGTCAATCGTGGCGATTTTGGCAAATATTCTATGAGATAATCTATAGGGGAGGCCTATGTTCAACAGTGTACACTGATAGGCTGTTATTAATTAATGAATAATAATTATTAATAATAATTTATCGTGTAGTGAAGTTGTAAGAATATCCACTACCGCCTATCGTCCCGCGAGTGTCGTAAGACGCGACAGAGGGAAACTGATAGGAGATGGGCACCAGCATCTTCCTGATAACAGCTCAAAATAATAAGAAAACTGAGGTTGACAACTCGCCTGCCAAGCGTTGCGAATATGGAAAATCAATGGTGATCAATGGTGAAGGCCTCAACCTCAACAGTGGACTTTAATAAGCTGTAATGGATAGATGGATGGAATGAAATGATTTTTTATTTTTTCTTCATTTTCTTTTTTTAAACGTTACCCCTCACTAGGATTTTCTCGTGGCGGCAGTTTGTAAACTTAGATTGCACGAGGACAAACATCCAGACCCGGAACAATTATTTGTAAGCCACACAAAATACTTGTTCCGTGCGGGATTCGAACCCTAGCTCTACAACTCATTGCTAAGCCACTGCACCACGGAGCCGTCAATTGAATGGTGTCGGACTGAATTTCTCTTCGGTATGTTGTTTTAATTTCCCACTTTACCAACAGATACCTACTTTTCGTAGATAAAAGAATTGTATAGGCTAAATATTAATACTTAATCTTAATAAAATGTATACGTAAGTTAAGTATTAATGCTTAACCGACATAATTTTTAGGTTTCCGTACCCGAAGGGTTACCAACGGGACTGTCTGTCAGTGGGACTGACTGTGTATCTCATGATCCGTGATAGGTAGGGTAGACAGTTCAAATTTTTTTTGAACATTTAAATATCTGTTGCCACTAAAACAACAAATAATAAAAATAAAAATAAATTAAAAACTTAAGGGGGCTCCCCTACTAGAAACGTGTTTTACGACGGAATCCTTCATGCACGAGTCCGACTTGCACTTGGTCGGTTATTTAATTACCTTTATGCATGTTCATAAACTATATGGCATAACATAGTAAACTCATGATATGGAAATAATTTATTGTTGTATTAATTTGCTCTAGCAGACTTGATTTTCGTGAATCAATTAAAAAATAAAAGTTGTTTGGACGCGTAATTAGATTATGACATTATGCAATAAGAACTTTACGCAATGAACGTACCGTAATTTTTTTCGTAAAACAAATTTCTAGTTTTAGAATTGGCTGTGTTTGAAATATTCTATTATTAAGATACGAAAAAATCAATAAAAATATTTTTTTTAAATCTAGCTACTTACTTTTTTAGAACACTTTATTCGATAATTTTTTTTATAGCATAAGGTTCACAAACGAGCACACAGTTCACCTGATGGTAAGTGGTTGCTGCGGCCCATAGACATCTACATCTATCCTCTGTTACAAATCAAAATGTAGATGCGTTGTCACCCGTGAGGACTAAGATGGAATGCCTCATTTCCAGTAAAAAGGGCCTCCGGCCACCTGCACTCACCAAGCGAAACGCAGAGGTACACCTCTACTTCACGCTGGTTTTCTGTGAGGTTGTGGTACTACCCCGATTCGAGCCCGCCCATTCGTGCGACAGCAAAAGCTGCCGCGTGGCTCTACCACTGTTAAATTGATTACAGGATATTACCAATACACGAAATTTATTTTCACTGGTATTCTGTGAGACCTGGTCCTTCGCCAGTCGAGCCAACCCACGCAGCCATAACGCTGCAGCCTTGCCTGACTATACCGTATAAATATTGTGTAATCGATTACCACCAGCGATTTTTCCGGACCGATACGACTTAGGGACGTTCAAGAAAAGAGCCTACTACCTTTTTAAAAGTCCAGCAACGCATCTGCAAATCCCCTGGTGTTGCAGTTGTTCATAAGCGGCGGTAGTCACTTACCATCAGGTGAGTCGCATGCTAGTTTGCCCCCTCTCGTATAAAAAAAACCCCAAACGTCCTACATACATTGACTTCCTTAATATTTTATTAGGTCGCCGTTTTAATATCCATCTATTAGCCCAATTAAAAAAAATTACATAAACTAAATATATAAAAATAATAATAGAAGCTTTCATACATTCCACAGCTGGGCACCAGCCTCCTTTCAAATCTGGGAGGGTTCATTGGATCAGAGAAGAC